ACACCTCCTCTGACCGTGGGCGCTTGATGGATCTTACCTCTGAGGGCTGGTCTCGCATTGGCTTCCGGCAGAGTTCTAAGGCTTCATCAGCCTTGATGTTGGCGGCTATTAACAGTTTTAGGCGTTTCCGCGCTGCTCCTGTTAACCTCCTGCAAGGCCTAAGAATATTGCCTTTTTACGTTTAGAACTTGGAAACTGAGGTGATATCCGCTGCTTATCACCAAGTCACCTCTATCCAAGTTACATAAAAAGTGCCTTCCTTCAGGATATTCAAGTAAGTAAATAAGAACGAAAAGGCATATTTAAGGCCTAAGAATGTTGCCTTCTTATGTTTAGGACGTGGAAACTGAGGTGATCGCTTCTCATCAAATCACCTCTATCCAAGTGACATAAAAAGTGTCTTCCTCCAGGATATTCAAGTAAGTAAATAAGAACGAAAAGGCGTATTAACCTTACATATTTAAGGCCTAAGAATGTTTCCTTCTTATGCTTAGGACGTGGAAACTGAGGTGATCGCTTCTCATCAAATCACCTCTATCCAAGTGACATAAAAAGTGTCTTCCTCCAGGATATTCAAGTAAGTAAATAAGAACGAAAAGGCGTATTAACCTTACATATTTAAGGCCTAAGAATGTTGCCTTCTTATGTTTAGGACGTGAAACTGAGATTTTTCAACAGTTCGTACTGTAAGCGATCACCTGATCGCTTCTCATCAAATCACCTCTATCCAAGTGACATAAAAAGTGTCTTCCTCCAGGATATTAAACTAAGTAAATAAGAACGAAAAGGCATATTAACCTTACATATTTAAGGCCTAAGAATGTTGCCTTCTTATGCTTAGGACGTGGAAACTGTTAAGTTGCAGTTTAACGGCTGCCCGTTTATAGCTACTTGTGGAATGTAAGGGGAACGACCTTCAATGCCCTGTGCAGTGTCCCAGGTAGAGCTTTCACGTTTTATCTTATGGCATATTGCCAATTACTAAACAATATCAATTGGAACGGTACCTGTTTACTGATATGCGAGAAATAATAAACTGTTGAAAAATTCTGAGGTCTTAAGGTCCTAATACAATATCAAAATACTAGTTGGATGTGTACAATATGCAAAGTTTTATTGTATAGGTTTCAATAAAGGTACGAATAGTCGATAGAACCGTATAAAAATCTACAACTTTTTTTTTTAATTCTTATGCTCTTGGTCAGGTACAGCCGATAAAACCATATAAAATACTAAAACTTTTTTTTTTAGAAAAATTCTTATGCTCTTGGCCCTAGCACTTTACAGTTTCATCACGAAATCAGAACGGTAGGGGACGAGTGCAGATGGTACTCCAAACCAGTGGAAGGAGTTATGGAGCAGTTGAAGGCCAACTACTGCCTGACGGATATGACTTTAGTCGGAGAGCACTGCTAAGGGTTCGAACCTCGGCTCAGGCCATCGTAATTTCGATCCCCGTTTGAATTAGAAGGGGGATCGATGGGAGGGGAAAAATCTAGAATGAAGAAAACATAAAAAAAAACACTTTAGCCAAAACGAAACCTTAGCGTATTACTTACTTTTAACACTATCATATAAATGTAATAATAAATGGTAAGAATTATAATTTCCTTACGTTTCTAACTTATTTTTACGTTGTAAACTTTTTTACGGTTTTTTGTATTTGCACATATTATATAACCTTTACTTAAGTAGGACTGGTCTGTTCGGGTTACGACCACTTATTAGACTATTTCCTTTTAACAAAATTGCAATAACATAAGCTGGTGGTCACTCTATTCTCCATAATTGAATTTAAAAATAAATCTATATTTTTGTAAACATGTACAAGCTCATTTTAATAGAATAAGAGCTGAGTTTCAGTTCAGTTGTCAGTTCTTCTTATCTCGAAATCACTCAGAACTGACGGTAGATTTGACATATTATAAGAGTCTATAATAGACCTTTATCAAAAGATATTTTGATTTGATTTCAATATATCCACTTAGTGCTCTCCGTAAATAATTATCACTGAATTTATACACTACATTACGCCTGATAATGCAATGTTACAGTATGAGCATTTTTGCTATTTTTTTCTTCAAAGGCGTTTACCGCACGTGGCTAAAATGAGTGCAGTGTGGCATTGTGATCTCAGCAGACTCCTATAGCAGCCTCTCAAACAATGATTTGTTTTATATCTTATTAAACACAATACACTATACACCACTTTACTTCCGATGGTTGCTGCTTCGATTATTCGCACGGTACAAACATTTTGTATTTATGTGTATGATTGTTTGTATCAGTCTGGGTGTTTTCTATGTATATTATGATTGTATTTACAATCTATGTATATGTATCAGTTGTCTAGTATCCATAACACAAGCTATGCTTAGCTAGGGTCTAGATGGCGCTGTGTGAATCGTCTTGAGATATTATTATTGTTAAAAATCAGATGGCAGATGTCTTTAAATTAGCAAATACATCATGAAGTGCAGCATTTGTTCTTTCTGTTGTTATATAGGCAGTAACTTAACCCTCAAGTATATATACTAATTAACTTATCAGACAGATTACTTAATAATTACTTGCTATCAGATCCATTTAATGTGACTGAATGACGGCACTGTTAAATGACGGGTTAATTGCTGATTTTAAGATAGTGAATCTATTTTGAAGAAGTCATTGTGTTCAATAAGATATAACAGCGAAATGAAAGTAAGAACACTTGTACAATAAATCTACTCAGCTGTCTTATTAGAAGGTAGAGTGATGAAACATAGTTGTATTAGAAGAAACATGTTTAAATTCCTACGTTTTTTTTATACATTTGGTAGATATTTATTACTTTATTGCACTATTTATAATAAACTAGCCATTCACCCTGGCTTCGCACGGGTGTACATTTATTATACATATAAACCTTCCTCTTAAATCACTCTATCTATTAAAAAAACCGCTTCAAAATCCGTTGCGTAATTTTAAAGATTTAGGCATACATAAGGACGGAAAGACAGCGACAGAGACTTTGTTTTATACTATGTAATGATGTACAAGTGGCGAGCTTAAAACTATATGACATTCTGTAACTATTGGGTGATAACAGAAAGCGGTTGAAGGGCATATGTATAGGTAGATATAGCTATACCAGCAACTCAATCTACAATCATATCTTTCTACAATCTTTTAAAAATATTGGTCGGATAATTGTATATACTGTAGTAAGTTCTATACTAGAACGTGTATCTACAGATGCACTAACACCAGAGACAATACTTAATTTAATGTCTTTCGGCTATCGACCCGCAAGCGTTCAGGATTTTTCATGCTACAAAGCTTAATTTAAGAAAAATAAACAATTGCGAATCTTAACAGATTGAATTTTCTTAAGGAGGGGGGGGGGAGTTTATTAATGTCACAGATAACATAATATTACATAGTAATGTAGACTGATGATTCCATTGCTAACAATGTATTATGTTACGTTGAGCTACACGCGATTGCTCCTGGAAACCATCTTGATAAATTTCTTTTGTCAAGATGGGCTAACTGACCTGACCTCGTGCTCATCATCTCAGCCTCCACAGATGCCCCGCCAGCGTGATGTACCGTTAGCGCAAGCGGGTACACCATGATGATGATAAGATGAGCATCTTATTATCCTCCACTGGTACCCCGCCAGCGTAAACGTATATATATATAGCTCAGGCGAGTCCACCATTCCATTAACATCCATCCACTAAAAAAATATGCAGAGTTTTATTTAGTATTCCATAAATTTGTGTTTGAATTGTAAGAAATTGTTATAAACTGCATTGTTTCAGACAAAACTTATCTTTTGCAATTTTCCTCTTGACTTTACAACGCTGCGTTTGATCTACCCGCAAACATTTTTATTCTTTGCTTGTTCATTTTACTAAGTAGGTCTACGATCAGTTACACTAATTTAATATCTAAAAAACTCCAATTCAATTTCGGATCAAGAAAATATAAGCTCGATTTAACGGCACACGATTTATTGTAACCATTGCAGCATGATCTTTTATTACTGTACTAACCAATTTTATCGCAAATAGACTGTGGTTTGTATCTTTTTAGGTATCTACGTAATCCTAAATAGTAATTCGTTTTTAGAAGCAAACTTGAATGCTCTATGATATAGGTGCTCAAAAGGTCCATTTGATTTCATGGTATACTGATTCCAAAAAGAACGACCATTGGTTGGTGACCTGATATAAATGAATTCGATTGTACTCGTACATTCACCTCATGTAACGAGACGTTATCATCAGTTAGAATCCGTGACCTTTATTTGGGAATGAAAGCGAATGGTCAATTGTCCAGCTCTGAAGAGGAAACGCTCAACTTTCATTAAATCATATTATGAGAAATTATTTTGACTAGTGTTGAAAATTTGACCATCATTAAATTAACATCGATAATAGTCTCGTCTTATATCTCCAGGATACCTATGATACAGAACCGTACTATTTTGAATAGTCTTATAAAATAAAATGAAAATTCTCAAAGGTTATATTAAGGAATATTATCTTATCTGTGGTTAAAGTTTGTAGTTGTTATACTACACATTTAAATTAACTAGTGGTGTGTTATTAAAATTATATAGTGTAATTAATTAACCCAGAGTGCGAAATTATAATTTAATATTAAGTAAAACTATACACAAATAATAATTGTCTGTCTATCTGTAGTAGTAATAAGTTAGCACATATATATTTTTTTTTAAACAGGGATGTATAAATAATATATTTCGCTCATATATGTTTAATTTTGAGAGTGTAACTTTATAAAATAATCACGCTGTACACGATATTATTAATTATTTATTTTTATGTTCTTTTGCCATTAACTGCCTTAAAGCTCTTAAGTTGTTGCACTTTGCTATAAGTGTAGGTTCCTCATATTCAAATTATCAATCATAATCAAAGAATAAATAAGGTAGAGTATGCATTGCAGATATATATGCGTTAGTTTTTATTTATTTCTGTAAGATCATCTTTATTATATACTTTTTATTGTAATATAAATTTTTCTACTGCTAGTTTTGTTTTCTTGCTTATTCTATTTCTCAAATACACCTCTTTTCCTTTCACAAATCGTTTCACTTCTCTTATTATTCTAACCAATTCCACGTGTATAATCCCATTTTTAAGTCAAATTAGGCAACAGATTTTAATCAACTACTCTACACATTATATTCTTAATTATATGTCAATTAATTACATTTGTTTATATTTCATTTACTTTTAAGTTATTCGATTTAACGTTGAAGGTGAAACAACAAACTTGGGACTCGTCATCCTGGTTCCAAAACTTCACCTTGACGGGAAACTTGCCCTGAAATATAAATAATAGAAACTATATACTATATTATTATATATTTAATAAATATAGGACCACCTCAAACAAACATTTTGCAAAAAGATTCACCAATCAATTTGCGAATGTTTATTGAATAGATGTAAAATATTTCCTGCAGTTTAAGTGATGAGTCTAACTGTTGAACACATCGCTTCGCATCCGATGGTCGTGGGTTCGTCTCCTCGCATGATACAAACATCTGTATTCATGAGAGGTCGGGGTGTATTTATATCAGTCGTTTAATAACCATAACACATGTTCTTGTTTGTTCTATTTGCAAAAAATAAAAATATATTTCTTCTTTTATAACCTCGATGGTCTAGCGGTTTTGCACACTGTCTTATACGTGGTGGTTCAGGGGTTTGATTCCTCGTATGGTGCAAACATTTTTATTCATGAGTATGATTGTTTTTATCGCTCTGGTTGTTGGCTATGTATATTAGGTGTTCTACAAAAAAATATCTATGTATTTATATTACATATCTAGGACCCATAACACAAGCTCTGGTTAGCTTAGGACTAGATACCGTTGTGTGAATTGTCCAGAGATTTTATTACTATTATTATTATTATGTTTCCTTTCTGAAAGATGTTATTATTGTAGAAATAAGATTTTTTTTTTATTTTCTTTGACTTACCGAAGCACGCTTGTCCAGTTTGAGTTTGAAGTTAGCGGTGTGCGTGTCTCGCCTCAGGGGGCAGTCGACCGAGTCGCAGGCACTTCTCGGCTCGTCTATTATAGTGTCAAAAGTGTACATATTTCCGACGTCCCCATAGATGGCATAGCGTAAACTTTCTGCTGTGAAATCTGCAATTACCTAATGTATTAGTGACAACAATAATATACTATCCGGTACCCGCGACTTGGACTGCATTTTTCATAATAATACTAATTTATTATCAGACAATTGCCTGTAAAGTAGTCTGTCCCATTCTAAAACACTGAGTGGGACAGCTAATAATATTAAGGCTTTTATATTTATTTATTTTTTTTTGAAATCTGCAATTACCTAATGTATTAGTGACAGCAATAATATACTAGCCGGTACCCGCGACTTCGACTGCATTTTTCATAATAATACTAATTTATTATCAGACAATTGCCTGTAAAGTAGTCTGTCCCATTCTAAAACACTGAGTGGGACAGCTAATAACATTAAGGCTTATATATTTATTTTATTTTTTACTAGCTACTCGCCCCAGCTTCGCGCGCGTTTCCGTACATTATTATTATATATAAATCTTCCTCTTGAATCACTCTATCAATTGAAAAAATTCTTGATAAATCCGTTGCGTATTTTTAAAGATTTAAGCATACATAGGGATGGACAGACAGCGACAGCGACTTTTTTTATAATATGTAATGATTACTAAATTATTATTTTCCCAAAATAACACCTAAATATATATATATATATATATATATACTAGCTGTACCCGCGACTTCGTCCGCGTAAAATAGTGACCTTGAGCAAATAGTAAAAAATATATATTAATAATCTAACCCAATAAAAAAGTTTCATCGTTCTAGCTTCAAAAATGAAATTTCCATACATAATTCCATACAATTCAATCAACAGCCAAAAACTAAGTTTCAAACTACTATCTTTAAAATGAAGATACTTCCATACATACCATACATACATTACATCTCCCCTTTCAACCCCTTATAACCCTTTTTCTTGTTTTTTTTAATGCTACTTATATTAGTGTCATCATGTACCAATGATAAGATGTCGCTATACTGTAACCATTTATGGCTGAGTCCTGTGGCGATAGGTACTGATATTTTCTCAACAGCCTAAACTATGGGTTTCAAGTTTCTAGCTTTAAAAAATGACATACATGCATACAACATTTTAACTCCCCTTTTGACCCTTACAACCCATTTTCGTTAATTATATTTAATCAATACGCAAAAAAATAAGATTGAAGCTTAAACTTTTAAAAAATTCCTCTTTCAGTCTCTTATAACCCTTTTTAGCATTAAAAAGTAACCTATGTCCTATCTCAAGATCTAGACTTTAAATTTCATTTAAATCAGTTCAGAAGTTTTGGCTTTTAAGACAGACAGACAGAGTCACTTTCACTTTCATAATATTAGTAAGGTATTTATTCAATAAACTGACCCAAAAAAGCGTAAGAAAAAAGCTTCATCGTTCTAGCTTCAAATATGACGAATTTCCATAAAAAGTTTTATCTGCTATTTTATTTTACCCCTTGAATGGTGACAATGTGATATTTACAAATTTAAATGTCATATTTATTTATATTTAATAAACAGTTTAAACTAATCTTTAAATTCTTTTGAAAATTGGTGGTCCAGTTGGCCAATAACATAATAAAATTTTGTTAAATCAAAATAATAGATGTGATATTCTAAATTGCAAACTATCCCTCTACTTGCGCGAACCATATCTCTGACTCTACTGGCCAGAATGGAGAAACGCGTATTCCGAACCTGAATAATAAAAATATTAATAATATGTTCTTACGCTCTTGTCCAAGAGCAGGGTCATCAGTTATAGGCTCTACCAGGATTATATTTATGTATTTATAAAATAAAATTGCAGAGCAAACGTTTATTCATTTAAATTCATAAGGAGACAACGGATTGACAATAATCAGTTGCGCGCGCTGCTTATACAAATGACATGTATGTTTATTTATGACATATGAGCGTTAATAAGTCGCATATCTAGTACAATACTGGTGTAATACAGAAATTAAAAATTTTTGAAAATAGACTTAATAACACAATTATAAAGTAGACTTTCCAAAATATCAAATTTTTTAGTTAAGCCATTATTATAATAAGTGTGTATTCAACCGCATAAAGATAACCTTGCATTACCATTTTCAACCCCTTACAACCCTTTTTTCGCATTAAAAAGTAGCCTATGTCCTTCCTCGGCGTCTAGGCTATATGGGTACCAAATTTCATTTAAATCAGTTCAGTAGTTTTGGCGTGAAAGCGAGACAGACAGACAGACAGACAGACAGACAGACAGAGTTACTTTCGCATTTATAATATTAGTAAGGATATATATATATATATATATATAAGTATCTACTTACATGGTGTAAAATTCACATCGATATCGTATATTTTGTCCGTCTTGATGTTACAAAATCTTGGCCCATGCAAACACGGATCCACAGTTACGTAGTTGATTCTGCATTGACTATTGTCGACTGCAAAAAAATATAAATGATTATTTTTGTGGGTATGTATTTAAATAACTTCTACGGACAAGTAAAAAAACGTATGGCAACAGACAAGTGGAAAAAGCAATGGCAACAAGATTTTTGCTTAAGGGGGTCTTCCTATGTGACGGCCTGTTTTTTAGGGATATTTTAGGATTTTTTTCTACGGCCAGTAAATATTTAGAGCTTCAAGTTTTTTATCATTTATTAACACATATTTGGACAGTATAAATATAAAATTTCAGCTAAAAATATTCAGTCAAACTAGAGTTACAGCGCTCTGAACACCCCCGCCTCGAAAAAAAGAGCTCCCACTTCCTCCACGATTCCGGCTGATCGGCTTATCTGAAAAAAAAAAAAAAAACGGCGTTTTAATTTGTAGGCTTAAAAGCACGGAATGACCTATAATCAAATGAATATAAAAAAAATTGGATTTTTGATAGACATTTGAAATAAAAGTTGCAAATTAGGCTTTTTTTTTTTTTGTTTTTTGCTATAAAAAAATCGAAATTTTGAAAATTTTCGATTGATAATAGTTCATTCCATGCGTTTACATATATTGAGTGTGCCCTGTAAATTTCAAGTAATTCGGTCCAGCCGTTTCTGAGATACAATGGATGAAAGTTTGAAAAACACAGTTTTGAGAAAAACGCGTTTAAAGTTTCAAGTCCGTTAAAAACTATTAAAATATCAACTTACTCTCAATCGGCGATGCCTGGTCCATAGAGTATTCCTTCCTCTTCCTCGTGAAACTCTTTTAAAGCAGATTGTTCAGCTCTTGAGTCAATCCTGGCTTGTTTAACGACATCACTTACGCGCCGCTCAGAGCGTAAGATTCGCTTTTCATCCCGTTTCTCAACATACGCTTGGGCTTCACGACCAACAGGGCATCCCATAATCGACATAACTTTTAAAATACCTTGAAAACCTTCATTAAAGATAATAACTGCTAAGTAGCTAGCAATTTCAACAACTTTGGGACCAGAATGAAGATGTTTAGGAGCGAAAGTCCAAATCAAAGAATTCAAAGATTCGTTATTGTTTTGTGTCTCTGCTCCTAAACAACGAATTAATAATTCGTCTTTCGATAAATCTTCGAAAACCGGTTTGATAGCTTCTTGGACTTGCGGAATTAGAGGTGGTTTATCGTGATGAAATTGGTCCAGTTCATTATTAGCTTCAGCCTTACGCCATTTACACCAACTGTCTTCGCCTTCTGAACAAAATTGATGCTGAGGGTTTTCATCAGAAGAACATTTGTGATAGTACGTTGCCCAAACTTCCTTTCTCATATCTTCAAGCGAATCTGGATGGCGTCGAATTGCTAATCCGTAGAATTTTGTAATTTCTTGGATAACTTTATCAGTAAGTTTACCTGCTCCTTTTCCTCCTATTCCTTTATTGGTTTTATACTTTTTAACAGCCCGAAGTCTGTAGAAACGTGTCTAAACTTGTATAAACAAATATATTAATAAAAGGGAGGCCAGGTATAAAGCCGACGGTACACAATAGGCCCGGTCTCTAACTGCCAACTCACCGCTCCGAACCGCTCTTTCTTTTACCTGCTGTATCTTTAAAACGACTTCGAATTTTCTAAAATCGCTTTACTACCGTATTCTAGACATGTTAAGGGAGCAATTTATGAAAAAAAAAAATCGATTTTTTCAACCCATCACATAGGAAGACCCCCTTAAAGTTTTCTGTCGGGTCTTCTAACGGACAAGTCTTCGAATTTCAATTAACAAGAAATTAGGAAGCTAACTTCTAATTTCTTGTTAATTGAAACACCGATTTGACGTATCTGTATTAAACATTGCAATTACATAAAAAAAAAGGAAATGTGTCTTCCGCATTCTAACACTAAAGCGCCATCTATACTGAAAGATTAGTTAGCCAGGTTATTTTTATTTCTTCAAACAAAATAACAGAATTATATACGTACGCATCCGAAAGCACTTCAGCACTCACATGGTTTCCCGTGTTATGGCAAGTGCATTCATAGTCTACTATATTCTACCTATACTTACACATCAGAGCGCACGTCGGATGTTTTACAGGCGTTATTTCGAATCTTAAACCTTATACATGCCATTCCTAAGAACAATGGCTGAGTAGCCGCCGAGACTCTAGTCGACTCCCCGCTTTCCTGGCGCCGGCTGTTGTTGTACTAACCCTTGGTAACGCCTTTTCGTGACCAAAAAATCCTAATACACCCCGTCTATATAGAAGTTCTACTACAAAAAGAATAACACAATTTGTAATGATCTTATTCTTGGTAACGTACACTGTGATCGTGGTCAATTTATCTAGAATTCATAACGACCCGACGTTTTCGGGGGTTTCTTGGGGATCGACCGACTTCGTATAGAGATAGCCATGGGGTCACTAGTTCGCATTGAAATCTATTGAAATCGAAATGGAAAACATCCTCCTTCGTGATAGACGGTTGAAAAGATATTAACAATAGTGCACTGACCTCAAATAATGTGATAAACAAAATCAAGATGGAGTAGCTCTACTTAAACGTATGCTCGTTTGCAACCGTTGTAGTAACAAAAAGAACTTTTAATTCAAGCAAAATGTAATATACCTACTGCTTTATATAATTTGTCTGTATTATTCCTTTTATAAATATTAAAAAAATATATATTTACATTTACATATATTTGTCTTACAAAAGTAATATATAAGTTGTACCCATAATAAAAGCTCTGCTTACCGTGGAACTAGATGGCGTTGTGTTCATTATCATAGGGTTATTTATTATTTATAGTTAAGCCTTCTAAGAGGAAATAAATAGAATATATAAATACAATCTGTATTATTTGATCCGATAATGAAATATAGCCATTTTCCTGTCTTAGTAAATACGCGAACTATCAAACGAATAAAGTAATTTTATCCAAATTTCTGAGAAATATTTTTTATTTTAGTTTATATTAAAACGAGAATGGTATAATCTTTTGTTTATTGTTATCAAAACATTAGATAACAATGAACAAAAGATTATACCATTCTCGAAGTATGTACTAAGGGAATAGGTGTTTATTTTTATGAGAAAATAATAGTAGATTTGATAGCTTGCCAACCGAAATATACATACATGTAATATTTAAAAAAATGTATATTAGAAGTATGTACTCACCCTCTTTGCATATTTTCCTTGTTACATATTCACAGTTGATAGTGACAAAAAGACAAACAAAGAGAAGGAAATAATACGACATGTTGGGGCTCGCTCCAGAAACTTACTGATAACATCCGCTATGATAATAATTGTCATAATATAATAATGAAGCATTAATAGGGCCCAGTTTACTTTATATATATTTACAAGTACCAAGCTCTGTCATTTGGATACATTCGTCGTTTTATTTAATTTTGTTTTTTCATTGTAGACAACATAAACGTCTGCTTGTATGCCTCAGTCTCACATACTTCAGTGGTCGAGCAACTTACTTTGTAAGAAAAATATAATATAACTAGCTGTATCCACGCTTGCCACCTAAATGTGCCTATGTGTTATTATGTTAGTTATTATATTAACCTTATGTTATTCTGATGTATAAGCTATATGACTGTAAAGTTTCATCAAAATCCGTTCAGTAGTTTTTGCGTGAAAGAGAAACAAACATCCATACTCACAACTTTTTGGCTTTTATAATATTATTCACAAACTATATAAACATAATTTTATAATATTATTAAGATATCGGCCTCGGTGATTTAGGGGTTTTGCAAACCGCCTTACTCCTGATGTTCCCGGGTCGATTCCTCGCACGGTGCAAACATTTGTATTCATGAGTATGATTGTTTGTATCACTTTGGTGTTGTCTATGTTTTCTATATATATTATGTATGTATCTACAAAAAATGTATATTTATATTAGTTGTCTAGGACCCATAACACAAGCTCTGCTTGACATGGAACTAGATGTGTGGAATGTCTAAGATTATTATTTATTTTTTCTCTTTTTTTCACATCTTTTATTTTGTATAAAAGATTATTATTATTATCATCCCTCTAACTAATTATGATGACTATTATTGATTTGCCAAATATTCATACTGCCCACAACAGACATAAGTTATAATTGTTCTTTTGTGATTACTATAGATTTTAAATACTAGGTACTCTGAAAGAACGCAAGGAATATACTGAAGATTATACATATACAAACTGGATCAGTATCAAATTTATGATGACATATAATAATTGTTATTTACGTATATTTGCATTGTAAACTATGAGCTAGTTTTTGGGTACAATGGCGCATGCTACCTGAGTATACGCCGTGGTTACCGTAACAACAATATTTTTTTAAGGTATTATTTTTGTAATAATAAGTATTTTTTGCGAATAAGTATTTATATAGATAATTTTCTCTCCCAGGTTGTTTGTAAGTTCTTTTGTTTTTACTTGCCAACTTACTGGTTTTTCTTGTTGAAAAAATAAAAAAATCTGTGCAAAATGAAGAAATTATTGTAATTATCGTTTGTAAACTGAGTGAAAAAAAACCAATTTAACACAATGTAAATTGTTAAGAATAAATAAAACGATGTAACGTAATGTAATATGTTCTCCGCATGTACCCTCTCATCTGGGCCGTTGTGCGTGTGGAGCCGATACTACTAGAGTACTCAGCCAAGCTCCTCCAAGAAGAGCAGAAGCCTCCTGGTGGCCTTACAGGCTTCACGAATAAATAAAAATAAAAAATAAAATTAAGCAGTTGCTGGAGTTAGCGCGCAAAATCGCACTGACAAACAGACAAAAATTCTAACTATCCTTACTCTTGATTCTATTATGTTGATAATAGTATTCTCATATATATTCATTGATTATGAATATATCTTATATATGTCGTCGTATATGTAATGTGTCGGGCACACTGTCTTTAATATATACACACAGTGTGCCCGACATACCTTTATATTACTAGTATTTACATAACCTAATTGTAGAACTAAGAACCTATAATATGATGACTAAAATATATTATTAAAAGGGGTCCCTTTAGGCAACGTTCCGAAGATACTGGCAGCGTTCCCTCTTTGAATAGCTAGACTAATTCTTTGTCCAAGGTAGCTGCCAGCTCTTTGGTCTTCTGTGATGTCGACTAACCTTTTCGTTATTTCTTTGAAAAGTCTTATAGCGCTAGGACCCCACGGACCAAGAGTCTCGACACCGGATGGGACAAATTCATATTCGGAGCCTAGACCCCTGTATTTACATATTTTGGCTTTTTCAGCCGCTTCACATGCCGCACCAGCTCTGTTGTTGGTTCCATGTAGATGGGATGGGGCCAGCGTGTCTGCACAGGTTGCATCCCATACCAGCACCCGGCCCATCTTCCATGGAATCAAACTCATACCGTCTGGTCTCTTACCATCGTCTCTTGCAATACCAGTCGGCTCAAGTAGACTTGGTACGTTGACGGTGGCAATATTTATATATATGTTTTAAAAACTATTTTTCTAATGATCCATTATTTATAACCTTTTAAAATATACGTCTTACCAACAGCGCCCATAGTTTGTCTTGATTTAAAAAAATATTCTTACACAACAGTCCTTAAGAAATCCAGTCGTTAAAAGACAGCGATCGCTCATTTTTATATTATAAGTACCTTACCTTACATAGGTACCTATAATAAAATGTAGGTTTATATATATATACTTTTTTATTGGATGATAATGGACTAGTGCTCCTGCGATAACGGTTTACGCTTGCGGTGCACCAGTGGAGGATGATAGGATAAATAGGTCAGGTAAGTTTATCCGTGAATAAATCACCAGGAATTAACCATGATTTCCAGGGTCGATATAACATAGTCCATTGCTAGCAACGGGGTCATTAGTCCACATTACATTTCTCTCCTAGTTTATTTATATTTCTGTAACACGACTTGAACAGCGTTCAAAAGTCCACCCTGCTTTATTTGTTTCTTGGTCTACAATATAATTATATCTACATGTATTTACATACATTAATACGTAATACTTTAATCTTTCAGACGGTTAGGTTCTGAACCCGGCGATAACAATTATGATAAGAAATACAAGGAGAATGGTTTGAGACATTGAGTTTTATTAAGTTTACACAGTATATATAGTTATTTACAATATTTCATTACTAATATTACTGATCATTTCCTAATCTGGACGGGGGTTTTGAAACAACACTGTTGCTCCTCATTATCTTCATTCCATAAGATCCATTTGAATATATAAGTGCCCTGTAATGATAAAAAGAAAATAATGTAAAATGTTTTCATAAAATCTGTCAGCGGAGGTCCGAGACATTTCTTTATGTTGATTGAATTAGGTGTTATTTTGCTTAATTCCACTTTAATTATTGTGTTTATTTTGTTTACTTCCATTACTATTTGTAAATACAAACGGTAATGGAATTGAACAAAATAAATATCCGAGACATTGTTTTATGTTTTATAGAATTAGGTGTTATTTTGCGAAATTCCTCTTTAATTATTATGTTTATTTTGTTTAATTCCACTACAGCTTGTAAATACAAATGATAGTGGAATTTAACAAAATAAATAACTGAGACATTTTTAGTATTTTACAGAATTAGGTGTTATTTTGCGAAATTCCATTGTATTAATTATAATTTGTTTAATTCCACTACTGTTTGTAAATACAAACGATAGTGGACTTAAACAAAATACGTATAGTAAGAACAAAGACATTCAGTGTGGAGGCATTTTTTTATCGTGAGGGAAATCTTCAAAAGACTAATCTAGAGGGGTGATGCGTGTTTTTTTGGTGACTGTCAGATTTAATCTGACGTCATCTTGGTCGTAATATCGCTTAATAAATCACTAGGCTAAATCTTCATTATAATAAATATAAGAATATCAACTCCTTGTACTGATAAATGTATGTGTTAGAATCACTAGTTATGACGACTTAGGTTTTGATGCTGCTACTGATGACCGGGAGAGAAACCCCATGTAGCGCCCGTGACTTGTGACATGGGTGTAGGTTTAAAAGGCCATTACATACAATTCACTTTAGTATTTAAAGTACAATCGACCGAATGCCGTAGCTTATAAAAATTCCCTCCTTCCACATAGAGATGCGTGGGGTTATATGTAACTAGTTTAACGATACTAAGTAATAATGAAACTACCTTTTTTTATATTTTAAAATTCTTCTTCTCTTTTATTATTTTTTTCCAATAACTAAATACTTCAACTAACCCTAACATAAATACTTCACTCTTAGAAAAGTTTACTTACCACGGGTAGTTTTTTCCCGATAACTAGGTGGTAGTTGAGGGTACCATCCTGTCCGGACACCACCGGACAGGTGGTGAGGGTGCATCCATCAGCGATGCCCAGGTCAGGGAATATAGCACCTGTGTCTGCCCAATACACGGCTGTCTTCAGCTTTGTTGTGGAGAAATCTGAAACAGTTTCCATCTTTAGATTTAGTACAAAATGAAGTCCCTTCTGCTTTCTGTTCGCTTAGATCTTTTAAACTAAACAATTGATTTTCATGCAGTTTTTAGTAAGAGATAGAATTATTCAGGAGGAAGGTTTATACGTAGAATATATGTATACTCAAGCGAAGCCGGGGGGAGGGGGGGTAGCTAGTTTTAGTATAATTGCCATTTTATATATATATATATATATATATATAGCTAGCTATAACAATTGGGTATGAATTTTCGTTTACAGATAGATGTTAGAAATCGACACATGGTTATGGTAAAAGTGAGATTTTAGGGGTTAAAACATGGCATAATAATCGAGGAATAATATTTAACATATAATATTTTTACTGCATTATAGTATAGTATAGTGTGTTTTACATTAAAACAGTAACTATACACACTACATCTGTGCATATATAATATAAATATAGTACAAATCAACACACAGCCAAACATCATCAGAGAGAGATACAGAAATAAAAATCTGAACACAATTTTTTTTAGTTCTCAAGTTCGGTTTAAGCTGGTGTAAATCTCTGATCGCCGTACCATTGTTATTTTGACTGTTAAACTTGCTTCGACTTCCACGGTACAGATAAAATCTTACTTAAATTTTTCGAAATAAAAATTTATTCTATTCTATTTCTAGTTATAAAAAAACAATATGTAGGCCTTTACTTGGAGTGTAGTCAAAGGACATGGAGACGTTGGTTCCCTTCTTCAAAATGCAGGCTCTCCTCGATCTGCAGGGTGTTATGCGGAGTTGATTTACTGTACATACATTGCCAACTGTAATTATAAAACAAACTTTAATTTAAATCTTATCTTAATAATATAATATACTTAAATATACTTATAATATATTGTTACTCTTTCACGCAAATCTACTGAACGGATTTTACTGAAACTTTACAGTAATATATTACCTTAATAGCTTATGCATCAGAATAACATATAGGCTCTAAATTTCACACGGGTAAAACCGCGCGCACAGCTAGCCAACAAACCAGGAATACAATGCCATCTAGTTAAAAAAAAGATGAGCCTAATATTTTTAATAATTGGAATGGTTGTTTGCATATATATATCCGGACCAAAAGTAACCTGACATTGAGGTCGACGCAGCTGGAGTCGAGTCACTTCACAGCTTCAAAGCGTTCGTGGCCCGGGGCCCCACTAGTATGCTATGTCCATCTTATCATTCTACACTCGTGTCCCGTCAGCGTAAACCGTTAACGCAAGCGGGTGCATCATTCCATTTGTATCCTTTAAAAAACAATCTTACTATCCCCCACTGGTGCCCCGCCAGCGTATACCGTTAGCGTAGGCGGGTGCTTAATCCATTATCAACCATCAAAAAAGTCCTACCATATTCTACTGGTGCCCCGCCAATGTATACCATTAGCGCAGGCGGGTGCACCATTCCATTATGATCCATCAAAAAAGTCCTACCATATTACACTGGTTCCCCGCCAGCATATACCGTTAGCGAAGGCGGGGCGCACATTCTATTCATAGACAAACTAAAAACGTGTCGTGATCTTTTGTTCCGGTTTAATATAATGACAGTTGACATTTTAACCTTTACCGATATGTTTGGTGCGCACGCACTGCTAAACTTTGTTATGTAAAGTGTTTTGACTATCACAATGTACCGAATAGGACATTTTATCTGTGCATGATAATGTAATGGTGTTTTTCTGCTAATTGCACGCTGATATATCTATGAGACATGTAGTGGTATGGTGGACCGTTTTTTAGAATAGAATAGAATAGAAAATCCTTTATTCACCTAATTTAATTTAAGCAGTTTTGAATAGTCATAGTTATCCTACTTTTAATCTACCGCTCATTAGCCTCATCACAAGAAGAATGAGAAAGAAACTTGCGTGTTGCTCTTTTAAACAATCGTTGTATCTTTACATTTTTTCGGACTACACTAATGCTGTTGGCCGTAGCTGGCCTTTACAGCTTCACTGGACGACAGGGGGCGAGTGCAGATGACACTCCAAACTCACGGAAGGATTTATAGAGTGGCTGAAGCCCAACTCTCGCCTGACGGATATGACTTTAGTTTGAGGGCACCGCTAGCGGTGCGGACCTCGGCTCAGGCCATGATACAACAGTGCTTAGGAATGATATTTGATCACTTATCTTGTCCTGTTCACGTATAAGACTACAGATATTACTTTCCATAAAGTAGATTAACAGCATACAATTTGAATTACGTAAAAAATATATACCAAATACTATTCTATATTCAAAAACATGTGGCGTCAAAAATAAAGAACTTTTTTTTAGTTCAGTATTCTAAAGAAAATATTTTTATCTCGGTATTCTAAATTAAAAAACGTGACGTAAAAAATAAAGCAAATATTTTTGAGTTCAGTATTCTAAATTTAAAAACATGTGACGTCTTACTTATTTTTTTTTAAGATACAATAATTATATATCTTGTATGGGCACAATGATATTGTTTGCTATATTTGTATGATACACTCTCGGGGTTATCGATTATATTGCAGAAACATAATGATTACTTGTAGACGAGTGCGTAAGTGGAAGTTACAATGACCCTATTACAAGACTATGTAACTCTTGTAATAATAATAATATCCCTGAAAATCACACAGCGTCTAGTCTTAAAGTAAGCAGAGCGTGTGTTAAGTATACTTGATAACTCATATAAATACTATATGTTATTGTAAATATATAATATATAGGTATATAGAAAACACCCAGACAATACAAATAATCATACTAATGAATACAAATGTTTGTACCGTGCGAGGATTCGAACCCGCGACTATCGGAAGTAAAGCGGTGTGTTAAACCGCTAGACCACTGAGGCCGTCATAACTTACATTGTGTAGCGGACACGGTCTTTATAAGCAATAAGTGCCCGGACATTGATATTCACACGGTATACTTTGTAGTAAATTGGATACACTGTCATTGATGCATTATATACGAACGTATCTAGAAAATGCGCATTTACTGCCCAATTGCGGCTATATAACCGCACTTCACACTATTTGTGTCCCCTCCGATGTATTCCCCATCTAATTCAAACTGGGATCGAAATTACGACGGCCTGAGCCGAGGTTCGGAACCCCAAGCGGTGCGACTAAAGTCGTATCCGTCAAGCAGGAGTTGGCCTTCAGCCTCACCATAAATCCTTCTGCGGGTTTTGAGTGCCACCTGCACTCGCCCCTTATCGTCCTATGAAACTGTAAAGACCAGCTGCGGTCAACAGTATTAGACTAGCCCAAAAAGAAACTAGTTTTGTCATTGGAATGGTAAACAATGGTAAATTGGATACGCAATACGAAAATGCGCATTTACAGCCCAATTGCGGCTACATCACCATATATCATCATCTCTATTTTTGACACTGGAATGGTAAACAATAGTAAATTGTTTACCATTTCTATTTCTTATTATTATTATTATTATTGAAGCAAGAGCTGTTTTTCTACTAAATTCTTTACATTTAGATAAAAAAGCCTGATGCAATAGTCTTTAATATTGAATACCCTACGCTTAAGATGGTTGCTATGACAACCATTTAGGTATACATCAGATGTTTCTGTTGATTAAATTATATGTCAATGGTAAATGTACTAGTACCTCAATGACGCAGTGGTAAATGTATTATTGTGATAAAGGGAGTCCGGATTTTATTATATTATTCTTGTTTGGGTGAATTTAGAAATCTCGATGCGTGGTGGATTTCGTTGGTTTGATTATTTGATTATTATTATTATGATTGACACTAGCTGTTACCCACAATTTCTTCTGTGTGGAATTTTACTTTTTTTACATAAATTTAATTTTCTAAAATAAAAGTCTCTCCTTACAACATTATATAGAGAATGTCCCGTCAAAATTGGTTGAGCTGTTTCATAGTACAGTAAGAACAACAACAAACAAAAAATATTATATATACATATATTAGTACCGTATATATTTTCATATACATTTAGTAAATAGCTGAAATTTCCAATTTTCAATATCACTTTCAAATCTATTTCTTTGTATATATGTGAATATATTGTATGTTATGTATATAACTTACCAATATCACAACTATTTAAATTAGCTATATCTGCAGTCACCACAACAAATGCAACAATTGACAACACCACACCAATTTCTCGCAACATTTTTATATATATACAAATTTGACACGTCTATATGTGGCTAGTAGTCTCCGAGGAATGTTCGATTGCATACATATGGTCCAGCTCGTAGCTAGCCGGATTTACCCCGTATTCACTGATAACATACTGTAATTACTTAATTAATCATGTTTGTTACTTAACTAATGTTTATATACATAGTTAAGATATTTTTAAATATTCGCAAGTAAAGGGAGACTCTACAAAGTCTAATGGAGGATTGCGGAATGGTGCACACGTCTGCACTAACAGTTTACGCTAGCGTGGCACGAGTGGAGATCACAACATGCTGTAATTACTTAATTTAAATATTCACAAGTAAAGGGAGCCTCTACAAAGTCTTGTCCTGTTTTTTTAATGGACTATAATGGAATGGTGCACCCGCCTGCGCTAACGGTTTACGCTGGCGGGGCATCAGTGGAGCATGATAAGATGAGCATGAGGTCAGGACAGTTAGCCCATCGTGACAAATTCACCAGGAGTTTAACACGATGATTTCCAGGGGGAACCGCGTGGATGTCGACCTGACATGGTACATTGCTAGCAATGGGGTTATCAATCCAAATTACTAGCAATCCCCTTCCCCCTGCGCTAACGGTTTACACTGGTGGGGCACCAGTGGAGGATGATAAGACGATAGTGGAATTGTGCGCCCGTCTGCGGTAATGATTTACGCTGCCGGGATAGTGCAGTTTCAGAGGAGTTTCCCGCGTACAATTTAGAATAGAATAGAATAGAATAGAAAATCATTTATTCAAATAAACTTAATTTAAGCACTTTTGAATAGTCATTTAAATGTGGAGTGAACTTCCTGCCGACGTTTTCGAGACTACAGCATGTGGGTTTTCAAGAAGGGTATAAAGTTTCTTATGGGTCAGTAACGCGCACGTGACACCTCTGGTGTCTGAGGCGTCCGTAGGCTACGGAGACCATTTACCATCAGATGGACCGTATGCTTGTTTGATACCATCGCAGTATAAACAACGAAAGTTAATCTTAGACCTCAGAATGTCTACATTCTGAAATCTACATGCATAAATGTAGTTTTAAAATGTAGACATTCATGATCATGATCAGCTGCGGCCAGCATTAGAGTAGTCCGGAACAAAACAAACTCAAACAAAACAAACATTATTAGAAATATAAATAAATTAAAACATTATAAAAAATGTAAAAATTTATTAGATATACAATAAAACGCCCTAACGATGGGCATATAAAAATAATTGTAGACAATAAATCGCGAGAACGTTGTACGAAATTCGATGTACGTTTAAAATCATTTACAGGTCAAATATTTACAAATAAAATACAATAATTAGGACAACTGAATACATTAATTAAGTATTTTACACACGCCGAATAATCTCTTTGGCATACCATTGCAGAGTGCGTAAAATTACAGTCCTAACTATATAACTAATTATAATACTAACTTTATACATGTACATATAGAGAGAGAAGGGTATTCTTAGTAATATTATCTGTGGTAATAGTTACCTTTATCTCTACACTCTTCCAAGAAAGAAAGAGTGAGCATGAAATGTAGACAAAGAGAACGCGAAAGACCGCGCTCGCAGTCAGCCCGCGCTTTTTAAAATAAAATTATCATTGCAAAATGGCGGACATCTGACAATGGACTAAAGACAATTATAGAGTTTTTTTTAAGTATGGTTTGGACATTTATGTTGGAATTATGCAATAACACAATGTAGTCGAAGACTTAATTTTTAAATTTTAATATAAGTAAAATGTTCAAAATTTTATTAAACACATTAATATATTTTTAGACTGATCTGAGTTTCTATTTAGTTTTTCTTGCAACAGTTGAGTGATCAGTGTCCAACTGGTTTAAACTGACTTACAAAAAAAAAGAAAACTGCCTGTAATTCTTTTTACAAATTAAAATACTTATTATAATATTACTATAGATTCCTATTTAATACCCTAATTATAAAGAACACAATCATAAAGTATTGGCAGTCTAAATTGGAAACCTATGATAGAGGATCATAATGTTTCAATAGTTGCAAATGTCTCTGGCTACTTCTATTTATTTATTTATTTATTACTATTTTAATGTGACATGATGAAATTTAACATCAATTTTTAAATTGTTCACTAACGCCATCTAGGTACATAAGTGGAAACTGTTAATGACATTAGAATAAGATAATATTCTCCAATTTTTATGAATTAGTTTGTACAATAATTTATGAATGAGAATTGAATGTAAAATGTTTTTATTAGAAATATATTTATAAATAATGGAATATTTTTTATTTCCATAATTAATTACCTTTAGACCATAGTGAATATAAAATACTTAAGCTAATAATTAGAATATATTTCGTTGTAGTTTACCACAGAGAATATGAATTATTGAATGACTATGATAAAAAAATAATATTTATTTTTTATTCGAATATGTACAAAAAAATACGAGTATTTTTTTCGGATATTCCTATAAAGAAACGCGAATTATTTGTGTTATTTATTTTTTTAACCAGTTCTTAAAATATTTATCTACGTAATTATTTGAGTATTAATACTTTTAAACATGTATTCACGAGTATCATCTTTCGATTATTCGATCATTTGTTATAATACCACTGCATTATTTAGGTATTTATCATTATATCGATTACCTTTAATCTAAACTCTAATACCTACTTATGCAAATTGAGTATTAACACTAGAAGTTTTTGGCGGGATATTACTGAAAAATAAAAATGGTCCTAAATATATCCACAGTAAATTCGATCCCATAATATATTGAATTTGAAATATTTAATAGTATGTACTTCATTATACTTACATAGATATACTTAACACATAATGTTCCATAAATACATGTGATTATTTCAAACTGAAAATTAAATTTAAATATAAATTTAATTTTCAGTTGCCTCACATGTACTTAAGTTAATTTATATATACGACGATTATTGATTACTAAAAATTACAGTTTTCTGAACTTTATTTTATCAGTCGTTTATTTTTGATCACAGTTTTTGTATAATTGATTAATTGTAAAGTAATTACTTCCTTATTGATGATAAATAGAATTGTATGATGTCTAGTCGTCTACATACATATTAAAAATAAAAAAATGATCTCAACTGGTGATACAAATATATATACAGCTAGATAACTAGGCATGTGATATCATCACAAATTAATTAATTAAAATAATTAAAGTTCATTAAATAATTAATTAAATTTCATTAATCAATTAAATAATAGGTAACTGTTTAATTATTTGTAAATAATTAAATTTTATTATCACTAATTAATTAATTTGTGAATGATATGCTAATTAGACAATAGCTAATGTGGTGGTTGTATTGTGGGCGTCATCCCGTCTGTGTAATTCCTGGTGTACGCCTGCTTCCTTCAGTATCCTCATCCTGGGACCTAGCGGCACGCCCAAAGCACGTAGTTTATCTTCACCAACATATGGTAGCTCTGCTGCACCAACTTTCTCTTTTTCCAAAAGCGCTGCGTATTTCTGAAAATAGTAATATGTATCTAATTATTAAATTATAATTTCAATTAATATTTAAAGTAACTTTAATGACATAATTAAAATGACCAATGACAATCAGGTTGTTTTCCTATTTATATATGGAACATATTTTAAAATTTGTTTCATAATTATGTTAGGAGCCTATTTGAATTCGAGAAGCAAGAGGCATTTATATCAATGATTGGTTATATATTGTATTAAATAGACATATTCTACTATACAAATATGCAATTATATATATGTATAGCTATGCTTTAGGGTCAGCATGAGGCAAATTACATTCTTAATTTTTGGGTGTTTATGAACCACAGTGTCCGTTTATCATTAGTTAAACTGTGGGGTGAATTGCCAATTCCGTAATATATTGCGAACAAAGTTAGATCATATTGTCTGAATTGTTAGTATTTTTCGTAGATACACAGTAATATAGTGGACAATTATGCATAAGTTTAACATAATAATAGGTTACCTCGTATCCGAGTTTCTTCAAGAACAGCCTCATGAGTGGTGGTTCGTCTCCGAAGAATTTGGTGAGTCGCTTCACTCGGTCAGGGTTGCTGAATGAGTACGGGTCGGAGTGTCTGTGGTGGCCTGAACGGATGTGCTGTTGTGACCTAAACATGTATATTATTTATTAGTTCTTGTGCTGTTGTGACCCAATCATGTGCATTAATTATTGGATTTTGTGCTGTTGTGAACTAAATATGTATATAAATTTACTGATTTCTGTTCTGTTGTGACCTAAACATGTGCATTAATTTTTCGTTTCTGTGCTGAAACAACACGCGCGGAAAATGTTTTAGCTTTTTTCCCACTCCAGTCACATACGGGTTGTACGACCTGGAAATCTAAAGTCCTAGTGAAAAATTTTACATATCACCAATTTTAACATGTGATTGATTGGACATCGTTATTTATACTGACTTGTACATGTGGCGTAACGCGGCGATCTCCGCGCGGATGTTGTCCATCTCCTGCATTACGAGATGCTGCGTCCTCATCTCACTGGATAGATGTGCCACCGATCTGGCTAAGGTCACCACGTGGGACTCAAGCCGCTGGAACCGCTTGTTAATGCCCTATACACAAAAATGCATCAACGTAAACATCATTAAAACTTGAACTTAAGGTGATTCTTAATTATAACCACGGTGGTCTAGCAGTTTAGACAACGGCTTTACTTCGTATTGTCGCATGTTCGATGAGAAGATCTGTCATGAAAACAGAGTTTACTTTTTATTTAAATCAGTTTATTTAATTACTTTACTAGATTTAAAGGCTATATTATTCCTAGCTTTACATGAAAATGCGAACTTGAAAAGGTGCATCAGCTTGTTTGCCATTCCATACATAAAAAGAAACTCTATATTAGAAGATTACCTTGAGGTCGTGTTTCTTTCTGTGATCATTAGAGCTGCGTCTTTTATCACGGACTGGTCTGCTGCTCACTGAACTCGATGGTAGAGATGACATGCTCCCGTAGCGACGCTTAGATGATAATCTGAGTGGAAGAAAAGCATACAAATGAAAGACCATTTCTAACTGAGTTCTCAAACCAAAAACGCCAAATCATCTGTCCATCCAGAGCCACAATGCCATAGACATGCGTTCAGATACACAGATTTTTTTATTGAGGGATTTGGGCTGTTGCCAAATATTTTAGAGCTGTATCAGTGGAACCTACATACTGTCAGGGACATGAAGGGTATTTCGTGGAGTGATTTATCTATAGTGATAGTATCCTATGTGGTTGTAACTCACTCATGCAGAGTGATAGTTTCTTTCTGCATGAGTGAGTTACAACCACATAGGATATGTGTGATAGTGGCGTTTCCTTTCCAACTTGGCAAATTCTGTAAAATTTTGGTCAGCACAGGCCTAAGTTTGCCTTATGTTTATTGAATTTGCAATGTCCAGTGATATATAGTTAGACACGTTATAATTATAGCACTTCTTTTTCTACGTCGTGGGTCAAAAAAATAGAATATAGCTACGTTTATTGAGGCATTCTCACCTGGACTCCCAAGTGGGTTGTTTCGCGAGACTGGCGGGCTTCCTTACTCCCAGTAGTTGCAGCACTTCAGCGTACATGTTCTCCAGTCCTCGAAGCTGTCTCCTGATGGCCCTCGCGTCTCCAGTAGACGCGTCGCTGTCTGTCCTGCCATCTAGCAGTGAAGAGAGATCCAGGCTGCGTGTAGTTGTTGATGTCATGTCCGTTGTGTCCAATCCGAATACTGAAAGTGATTATCATGATCATTGTTATCATTTTTAGTATGTTAATGAAGACAGGATGACTCTGGAAACTTCCATGTACAGAAAAACATACAGTATTTTTTTTTAATCTTCGCCGATATACATGATTTATGGGCATCACATTATCATGTGATACCCGTGATACCACTCACACATTGTTCCGATGGCTAAGAAATGCCTCTTAACCAGTAATGGCACTGCTTAATCGCATACTACATACAAACACAGCTTATAAAACAAGCTAATTGGCAGCTGAAATAGGTGAGATTAAGGTACACACGCAGACGACATTTTACCGTCTACCTTTGGTACAAGTGACTACAAGTGAGCAGTGTTGTCAATCTAAATGAAAGTGAGTGTCAATCTAAATTTAAAAAATGTCGTTTGAAAAGAAAATGGGCTGATTTTCTTGTCAGTTCTTCTTAGCTTGAAAGCACTCCGAACTGACGGGGATTTGAGACATCATATGAAGACTCTACTACAGACAGACGTCTGTTTACGTCTGTAAAGATTTTGATTTTGAAATGTAATGTAAGAATAAAATCAGTTATAATACTAACAATGCTTCTTATAATGGTTGTCACGTTTTGATGAGTGTTTCTTGTGCGAGTGCCAGCGCGGGGAGTCACGTCCGCGTCTCCTCTCCTCAGGATATTCAGAGGCACGACCTGGAAGACTGTAACATACTTTTTTAATATTATATTGTATATTAGATAGTTGTGTCATTACTTATTTACTGTAGAGATAGTACTACAAAATGACAAGCATACGTTAGGGATAGTCGTAATTTTTTTTTTATGTTATATCATTAAACAGATTAATGAGAAAGATAATTATGGGTCTAATAATTATAAATATGGTTGATTTACTGTAAGAATATCCTTACAGTAAACCAACCATAATTATAATTATTCGTATATACGAATAGTAATAAATAATAATCTGCACATGTTAGGGATAATGATAAAAATGATATGCACGTTGGGGTCAGTGATAGAAAAGTACATGCCGAACATGCATGTTTTTTTATTAAGAATAGCGATCAAAAATTGATATGGATATTTTAGGGATAGTGATAAAAAATGACATACATTAGTGGTAAAAAATGTCCAATCTGAATTTATAATTTTGTCTTGAAATCCATCATTGTTAGTAGTTTTGTTATTCAAACTATATGCATGCGCTATTAGTAGTCTGTATTCACGCAAATCACAGCTTAAAAATGTGAAAAACATTATTGTAAAACAGCAACAGCCAAGTTACTTGCTCATTTTTCCAGGTTAAATGTGCTTTTTTTATTTATATATTAAAAATACCTATTATATGATATCATTTAACATGCCGTAGTAATATATGACAATTCATTATCAACAAAATTATTTAACAGAAGTATAGTAGTACCGAAGTAAGTAAATGAGCGCCTATACCTGAGTATACTAAGTAAATAAAAAAATACAATTAACTACGGTAATTCGTATACAGATTATCTTTCTTCTAATGCCAAAAGGTTCTAAGTTGAAACCGCCAGATTTGAAGTAACTATTCCATTAAAAAAAATTACCTATTTCGTTTGTGCATATCAGAGGATGGAGACAATGGAGGCAGTGGTGGGGTCACAGAGCTATCAGAACTTCCTGAAGAATCGAGCCTCATGCCGGCCAGTTTCGGTTCCAGTATCTGCCGCAGTTCACATTCTACTAAATCCGCCCACTCGTTTTCACCAGCTGTGAAAAAAGAATACAATTTATTATAGACCTGAATGAAAGAAAGAAATATAAATTTATTATCAACTAATAATATGTATTTAGAAAATTATAATGAAAGTATACAAAATTATACTTGTACGTTACCTATACATACAATAAAACTGTAGGTCGAATGTTTAATCTTAAAATTTAGTTTACTTATTTAAATCGGTCCTTCGAATATATTCGACAATAAATTTGAAAAAATAATCTATATATGTTCTATTTCACTTCTAACATCTCTCTGATAAGGTTTTTCTATTCTATTCTATTTTTTTCTATATACATACATAGTAAAAAACGATAAAAACCTTGTTTCTACAGGCTATTCTTCGAAGGACCGATTCAGATTAAATTTAAAAGTGTTTATATTAAGTTTGTTTGAATAAAGATTATCACTATTTGTTGATCTTGAGATAAGTCTTAAAAAACATCGTACCTTGTCCAGGAGGCTGTTGACTAGTTCCAGGCTGTGGTTGTGTCCTCGAAGGGCCTATGGCATCAGAATCAGCTGATGTGTCATGTAGACTGGCTTCTGGTCTTCTGCCACTCGAATAAGCCACACTGCCTCGACCAGAGTCCACATTAGACGATTGACCGCCGTTTTTATCATAGTCTGAAAATAAACATAAAATGCATAATTCAGTTTCTTTATTTCTTTAAATGAAATACATAATTTATTTTCAATTGAAAAAATGTGGAATAAATATTTTATTTAAAAGCAACAATTTTTGAGACGATTTTGTTATTAAAATTTTAATTATGATATTTATTTAAATGAATGGAGATTACTATTTATCATTATTACCATTTCTAATTTATATAGGTTATATTGTTGTAAAATAAATTAAATCAAATAAGAAGAACACCCTACAGTACAGTTCAGTCTATTGATTCAGAGTACTGGCAAAAAGCTCTACTTTTTTTAATTAATAAAATTCAATCTTTGTTTCTTAGATATACATAGATGATATATAGGTATCTTTCAAGAATTAATGTGTAATTTAGCGATAATAATCTAACTATAAGGTACGTCCGTTCAATAAGATATCATGAAATATAATCTATTAAAAATAATTAACAACGTTCGAGATTTATTACTATAAATTAGCTGGCAGTGATTTACATGTAAATGCTCTAAAGTATCTTAATTACAGATTGGGTAATGATAATTTCAAAATTCTGATTAATTACTATTAATTTAAATTGAAGTATAATATTTAGACATAGAACTGTAATAATATTTATGATTTTTTTATGAAACTGGAATGGTAAACAAGATCACAGTCAACTTAACGGAAGGTGCTAACCTTCGCATATTACATAAAAATATTGCCGCCATTGCAAAATATATTGTAACAGTTGAGGACTAGTTATTTTTACTTTGCACTCTGTGATTTTACAGTACCACCATCTTACTATTCAAACTTTACAGTAGCTAGCTTTTCAGGTTGTGGGAGCAGAATAAGATAAGGCAAAGTAATAAGTAATAAATTATTATAAAAAGGCGCTAAAGCACGTACGCTTGAAGAAGGTCGGAATGCACGAGCTGGCGCGCCCACTCTTTCTTGTTCTCTTTGAGTAAATTTACATTCACAACCTTTTCTGCGATAAATTGCGATGGTACGTGTAAAATCAGCAAATGACTTTATACAAAGTTTCCCTCTAATAAAATTAAACTGGAATATTGGTTTTTCTATAAAAATATTTTTAACATACAAACCTGAACTAGCACCAGAGCCTGCCCCTTTCTTTCCATGACTTTTTAAATCTTCTATCCTACTCGGAGTCTGTCTTGATGATGATGGCTGAGGATTATAAGTTTCTGCTTTTGTAGCAGAATTATATACACTATCAGCAGACTTCTGACTTGCACTCTCATCATTCCTCTCTGCCACTTGACTTGATACTATAGTTTCTTCTTTTTGTTTCGGTCTCAACGAGTCCGGTGTTCTTCGCTCTTTTTGTATTTCGGGCGTTCTTCTATACACATTTTCTTGAAGTCTTTCTTGTCTGTGCGATTCAATCGATCTTCCACTAGTGCGGATTCTCTCTTCGAAGCTAGATCTACCTTGCGCAACTAATCTTGATCTAAATCCTCCATCATCTGACTCTCGTTCATCACAAATATTCTTTGGAGGACCAGAATCATTTAATGATGCTTCGAGAAGATTCCCATGAGAGTTTCTTCTAGATCGGTCATGTATTTGTGGTGTTGTCACTTCCGCTCTTGGTTGGGGATCATCTAAAAGGTGTGGATGTGACGCAGCCCGTCTTCCTTCTACTAAACCTCTTTGTCTTATTATTTCTCTTTCTAACTGTTGTGGACTTCTGAGGTCTGGTCTTGAATGTGAATTATCAAACTGTAATAAACAATAAATTACTTAATGCTCTTTTTAAATTCCATGACGCGGAAGTTGTGAAGGATGTAGTAATGATTATGAGATTGTAAAAATATATAGTTTTATTTATTATAAAGTTTTGAAGTTCAATATGATATAAATAAACGAAAAAGATAAACACGTCGTTGTAAAATGTTGAAATATTAATTTATATTCGATGTCAATTAGTCGATACACGTAGCAGTAAATTAAAACTCTAATAAATAACTTCCTACGGAATTTGCTTCTAAATTTATTCACCATTTTTATAGATATTTTAAAATAAAGTTATTAGTGAATAAGTAATCTAGGTAAGTTAAATCTTTAGGTAACTTTTTATTTTAGAAGTAAGAAAACCATTACATTTAACGCTCCAAGAAATACAATCCATAACCTTTAACAAACAAGTGAAAAAGTTCTAAGTAAGTAAAAAATATTGACGTAATCATTTCTTTAAGTAGAACTACTTCAAAATATTATCAATTTTTCTATTTTCTTACAATGCAACTAGTAAATCAGCGAAAGTTTCACATAAAAGATGAGAACCTTAGGAAACCAGACAAAAGAATATTGCAAAACATTAATTGTAGACAGACAACGTCACCATCGATTTACGATACATAAAAAATTATGATCCAGTGAAGTATGTTTCTTATTATGAACGAAAAAAATGATTCTATGAAAAATCGTGTTTCGTCGGCCTCAAAGCTTCTTGTTATTGTAATTGCGGCATACCCCGTGGGAACGCTTGCTTAATTGTCTAGAAGAATAGTGCTTTGTTTCTGAGGTTGCTACTGAGAACCAAATAAGAGGTCGCAAGAAAGGCGTTGTAGAATACCATTGCATTAAAATTTGATATAGTTTTAAAGTACGTTCATAGACGACATGATTTGCTAGGGACTATATTCTTATTCCTTAAAGGTAAAAACATCATTTAATTTATTGTTTACAGTTAATATCAAGTGGTGCATTACCTGAGTTTGTGGTCCAGTCTTTAAGGATGTGAAGTTAGCCATAGATCTAACATCGATGTCTCTCTGGTACATTGCACTTCTTCTACCAGGCGGACCATAGTGCTGGTACAAGGCATCGGCTCCTAAAGCTTGGGACTGACGAGCAAGTGGAGTCGAGGCTAGCATTTCTTGCGACCTGGCCTGCTGATTCAGAAGCATATGCTGTTGGACTATTTGTTGCTGCATCAATTGTCTGAGGAAGATTTAAAAAATTAATACTTCGAGAATCGAAATTTTTAATCCAAATTAATCACATAAATATCGTCTCACTACTCGATAACAACTAAGTTGATAATGACTTTATTATATAAAAATACACCTGCAGCAAATTTCATTCATTTCTAACGTAGGAAACTCTTAAAAGTTCCGTGTAAGATACGAACATAACAATCTAAGTAAAGCTTGAAACAAAACAAAAGATGACTTAACGGTATTCGATAAAAACTAAAGCTTTAAAGAGATAATCTTTTAATCGATCAATCTGAGATTACAGTAATTGTTGTAAAATGATTTACGATCGTACTATCATTTTGAAGCGTATTTCTATTGTGAGATATAGGAAGTCTATAGAGAACAATGAAGAGATTTAAACTGTTCTAAATGATCTAATAGTTTTAGGATCTTTTACCTGTGTGGAGAAGGACTAGGGTATGCCATATTGTTGTTAGGTATTACGTGGTTGTACTGCATATCTGGCCTATTATGAGGGACGGGTCTACCATAGATTCCCTGTTCCATCTTCCTGTTACTATTATCTCTTGGGGTAACCTGCTCAGGTTCAGGCCTCTTTCTCTCTTCGCTGTTATTCAATCCTGATTCTTGTTCATTTCCTTTATCACTCTCATTACTTTCTTTACTTTTGAATCTGCTCGATATCATATCTTTTAAAGTGTGGTACGTTTTGCTTACGGATTTGCTACTTTTCGGTGCATCTCTCGTATTGTCTTTACCAGTTTCGACTGTAACCGTTATTAGTTGTGAATTATTTGGAGTGTCAGGTTTTTGACCGTAATTTTTTGCGGGAATCGGAGGCTTGGGTGAGTCGTATTGGCCTTGAACGTTTCTAGATATGGCGCCTTGGTTTTGGTTTTGATGCATTGCGTAGTTATAATTCTCGTGGTATTGTCTGTAGTTGTCGCCAGATGTCCCAGCTTGCTGGTTCTGGAAAGTAACATACGGTATTACAGTTTCATTGTGCTATGGGAATAAGATAAACAATGGGCTATTGGAATGGAATTTATACTGACAAGTTTCAAGTTGTGCTTAGCAGTAAGTAGTATTGCAGTACATAAATCAGTATGTGAAAGGCTTATTGTTTGTGGGGAAAATGGAAAATTATATGTTGTTATTTCTGTTCTTTAAAGTTTCCAAATTCATATATTATATGTTGTAATGAATTCCCTACTAATATTACTGTGAAAGTTCGTTATTATGTTAAAATGGCTCCATATAAATACATACTAGTATTTAAATACTTTTGATAGACTGATCTCAGTCTAGTAGCTTTAATCCTGATTGACGTAAGTAGCTTGTCAATGTTTAATTATTATTTAACAGTAATTTTAGTCTAAGTACGAATAATTATAACATGGCATACTTATATAAAAAAACAATTGAATTGAGCATAACTTTCTGTCGGTTAAATGTAGGTATGTTATAGCTATGTATATGCATATTTATATGTAAAATAAAATTAAAAAAAAATAAACATTCATACAAAAAAAACATGACGTTCATAAGTGACTAAAATGTCCTACATTAATAAATGATTATAATTATTGATTTGATTGGTGAAATTATTAAAATATTCATTAAAAATTTATATATATAACTAAAAAAATCTCAGATATTTAAAATCCCAAAACAGAATAATATAAATCTATTAAGTACTAATAATCTGACAAAACCGGTAAGGAGGTTGAATAAATCGTATATGAGCACGGATATCCGGTCAGATGGTAAACTGAACCGGGAGCGATATCATATTTAATAAGTATAGATTTGTGACAATTTTTGTATACTTTAATTAGATATCCAAGTGTTTTAATATAATAATAATACAGAAATATAAGAAATTAATTAATTTGTATAAATCTTAATTAATATATGTCCATTATTAACAATAGATATATTTATATACTTAATAAAAATATGAATGATTTATACAAAGTTTATGATATCAAGAAAAAATAAATACAAACATTTTCTAAAGCGAACTCAACCATGGTACATATAAATTACACAGTACACAAACATAGAATCACTGACACATAATTTCCAAGTTAACATTAAGCACGTCCATATCACCGGTTATTATGAATACGAGTAGACTATAGTCGGGACGGGAGGTAGGCAGTGCGGTCGTTGTGACCGGATGCGCGCGCGCATCGGCGCATGTGGGATCCAGCGGCGCACGATTGTTAGCTGAGGTGCGTGCTTTTTACGTCAAATTTCCTCACAGAAATAGAAATAATCTTTATTCAAATAAACTCAACAAACTTTTGAATAGTCTAATAGTCATTCGGAACGCAGACTCATGAAGAAGAACGAGTAAGCAACTTGCGTGTTGCTCTTCTGAGTAAATGGTATTGTAAATTAATAAATACACACTAACAAGAAAGAGGCATGCGATAATCAATATAGATACTGCTACACACTAATTCTTAGTGAAATTAGATAATATTGTCAATGCTATGAATTTTAAGTTATTTCTACAAACACATTATCATTTACAATTTTTTTAATAAGGAAAATGTCTTTTAAGGTATGGGTATAATATACGTGACATACCACAAGGAGCGTGTGTTATGGGTACTCGACAACTGATATAAATACTTAGATATTTTTATGTAAATACATTCATAATATACATAGAATACCCAAACCGATACAAGCTATCATATTTATAAATATAAATGTTTGTACCGTGCGAGGTCCCTATAAAACGGTGTGCTAGACTGCGTTCGGTCAAAATACTATTACATTATGAACTGTTTCTAGGAACACAGACAATCAATTTTACTACCGTAAAGCATTGCCAATACTAATTACGTGTAAAGTATTGCAAATTATGAAAAATAGACTATGATGTAAAAAACAAATTTTTTGTTTATTTAAAAACATAATATGCACTACAACAAAAAAACATTGTAACTGGCTAATCAGATATGTATTTTATATTTAGAATATAAAATACATATCTGATTAGCCCGTTTTATTATTTATATATTTGTATTTGTATTTATAGTTCTTTTATATTACATTCTTGTTTTTGATACTTCAATTCTTTTCATTCTATTCCTAATTGTCAGTAGTCTATATTAATATATTTTCTCCGTTTACCTAGTCTTTTTTCTTATTACTACAACAGTGACGGACCGTTGGACTGTATGCGTGTTTAAATGATGAAAAGACGTAGATTATAATCATAAAATATAATAATATACAGCTGCGAACTATGGAAAGACAGGCAATAATTGAAATGTACCAAAAACATACATATATAAGGAGATTTGTTTTAAGAATATAAATGATAAGAATGGAACTAATTAGCGGCTATAACATATAACTGAAGTGACATATTAAATTAAAACAATTAACCTAAAACTAAAAACCTTAAAAAATATAATATAATAACTAAAATATATTTTTGAAAGGAGTCCCTTTAGGTAAGGTTCCGAAGATACTGGCAGCGTTCCCCCTTTGAATGGCTATACTATACCTCTATACATATAAATAAAATTGGAGTGTCTGTTTGTAATATTGAAATAACCGTTTTTTACTACATGCATATGAATATAAATACACCAAAATAACATTTTTTACAATTTTTGACTGTCTGTCTGTCTGCTTGTTCCAGCTAATCTCTGAAATGCCTGCACTGATTTTGACGGGACTTTTTTGGAAGGTAGCTAATGTAGTAAGGAGTAACTTAGGGTACCTTTATTTATAAAAATAAATATCAATTCCACGTGGACGAAGTCGCGGGTACAGTTAGTTTATACATATAAATAAAATTAGTGTCTGTTTGTAATATTGAAATAACCGTTTTTTACTCTATGAATATGAATATAAATACAGTACATGTACCTAAATTCCATGCGGACGAAATCGCGGGTACAGCTATTAATAAATATAAATTAAAAATTATAAACATAACACAATAGTTTACTGCGGTCAGTGGTCAACAAACATAATATTATGTTTAAACCCAACCATATTTTACTAACTCCTAATATAAGTGGGAGAGTTTTAAATTGTATTTAATTAGTTATATAGTCTTGTGTACGCCTACCAAATATTCGATTACCGCTAACCATCGACAATTCGATTCGATTCATCAAACTGAACAGTTTGACTTTCGCTGGCATGTAACAGCCAAATCGTGTACAATTTTTCCATGGTTATTTTGTATAGTTCACTATTAGATAATTAATTGAACCTTAGGTACAGATAAACGAGTTTTTTTGAAGTTACCAATCAAATTATGTATGGATCTTTTGTTTTATTGCATGACAAAGAAACAATTAAAGAACCTGTTTTTTACGCAATACTTTCAAGATTACAAGATTACGTTTCCTTTTTAATTGTATTTAAAAGAGTGACTTTGAAGTTTCTAAATGATTATATATAAATAGAAGTCACATAAAATTTTTATTGCAAAAAAGTATTATTGTGTTTATTTATTTATATATATAACTCTTTAACTACAATTCCAACAAAAATCGAATTATATATTATTTATATTCTTTATAGGCCTTAAGCGTAGAAAGAACTTCTATAATACTAAATTCTTTTTGGTATATTTTCAACTAGCTGTTACCGGCAACTTCGTCAGCGAGAATTCAAATAAAAATCTATCTGCGAGTGAAAGTCCCGTTAAAATCAGTCCAGCCGTTTCAGAACAAGAACACACAGACTGATAGATCACCGAAACGGTCGAAACTTAACATCTTCATAACCTATTACCAATAGGTTATGAAGAAGTTAGTTTTTAGGAACACAATCTATTATATTTTACTAACATAAAGTATTAAGAAAATACATTAGTATTTACAAAAGACAGTAAATTAACAACTAATAATGGTCAGTATAATGTGCAGTAGTAATATGCGTTTAGTGAGAAGTTGTTAATTTGAAATTACAAACAGACACTTTAGAATATCAGTATTAAGTATATTTTAATATTTATTAGTATACAAGTCGCTACATCCTAATATAAATAATATATAATTGTCATTGAAAATGTAGAAAAAATGGATTAACATGTATTTCTAGTTATTCTTTCGTTAAAATCTACAATTCGTCATAGCAAGACCGCACAGCAGTGTCGCGAGCACCGTTGGTTTCCACGTACCGCAATAACTACGTCTTAGAGGTCGCACCATGAATTTATATCGGATTTTATGGGATACTATTACCCTGCATTCATTATAAGCACTATAATTATATTATTAAGTCAGCTTATACAGGTTTAGGTGGAAAGGATATAATGATCTGTAGGCGATTGATTAGCATGCATAGAACCCAAGAATATCCCATAAAGACGATGGAGGGTTGTATATAATTGAATAGCCAACCTTTTTATAGAATAATAGCTGTCCCAGCAAATGTTGTTTTGTTATATAAATTAAAATTGCTATTAAAAAATAAGGGTTGATGCTAGTTAGGGTTGTATGTATTTATTAATGCTAAATTATAAAAATATGAAAATTTTGTCAAAGAAATAAAAAAAAATGCTAGAGGTGGTTAAAATGTTTTTTAATGAGCTTGCTAATAGGAGGATGAAATTTAAATTTAAGGGGGTTGGTGATAGAGGGATGACAATATAGGGTTTTATATACATTTAATGCCACATTATAAAAAAGAAAATGTTGTCCAATAAATAAAAAAAAAGTTATAGGTGGACAACCCTTATCACTTAGGGGTATGAAAAATGGATTCTTTTTATACATATAAAATTTCATACAAGTCGGTCAATCCGTTTCGGAGGAGTATGGTAACACGAGAATAACATCAGTTGGTATTTTATCTTTTTATCTCATATACTCTTTAGCTTGTTTTGCCATTGCAGTTATATTAAAGAAAGAGAAACATAGATTTCATTCTGGCATTAGTAAATCGCACAAAGTATTTTTTATTTATAAATATGATAAATCTGTGGTCATTTGTACTTGAGGATATCTCTAGCGTGACGTGGTACGTATAATGAAACGAAGCGTGTATAAGGATGGGGTCTTTGTCCTTCAAGCATCGTAAAAAAACATAAAATCCGATTTGAGCTACATGGCGTGACCAGATTAGGACCTCATCTCATACCCCATGCCACTAAAATGTGTACAACTTGGCCAAAATTATTTTAAATCTATTCTTTTTATTTGCTTGTGTTCACTATCGTGTGAGGCACCATTAGTTAAAAATGGTAAATTCAATAATTGTAGCGAACTCTTGATACGTTTTTATACTATTTTTTAATTTTATAATAATACTAGCTTTTACCCGCGGCTTCGCTCGCGTTAATATATCCCCTTAGGGGTGGAATTTATCAAAATCCTTTCTTAGGGGATGCCTACGTCATAGTAGCTTTATGCATGCGAAGTCTCACCCCGATCGGTTTAAAATTGACAAAGTTTCATACAAACTTTCATCCCCTATTTTATCCCCTTGGGGGTAGAATTAATTAAAATCCTTTCTTAGCGGATGCCTACGTCATAACATCTACCTGCATGTCAAATTTCAGTCCGATCCGTCCAGTGGTTTGGGCTATGCGTTGATAGATCACTATGTCAGTCAGTCACCTTTGAGTTATATATATATTTAGATTCTTTGACATATTATTTATTGTTACTTTCTATTATATATCGCTGTCATGTTAGTCGCATTTTATTTTATCTCCGCATTTTCCGTATTAAAACCCTCAGCATCTCTCACTCATCAGACATATTAGATACCTCCGCTTCAATAATCATGTTTCTTTATCTAAGGCATTCAGAGTAATCTGAAATGGAACGCCACAGCCTAAATAATCTTTGTGACATTGACAATCAGATTGATAGATGAATTGAACTGACGTAGCGGGACTTTTGGAGCGAAAGCTTGGAGTGTTTATTATCATCAAACAAATAAGAGATATGTAATTATGAATATTGTAGGCATTGGGGGGTTTATTAGTTGGTACTGGGAGGATACCACAAGTAGTGAAGGTGAGTGTGGTAATGCATTCTAAAAGGGCCCTTTAAACCTACACCCGTGTGACAAGTCACGGGCACTACTTGGGGTTCTCTCCCTGAATCATCGGTGGCCGGCATCAGGGCCTAAGTCGTCATCATAACTAGTGGTGTAATACTTGTACATTGAGCGATACTTAAAAGTATATAAATCTGCTATAATAATTTATAATAATAATGTCTAACTAACTAACTCTAACTTATAATACAGAAGAATTTCAAGAATATATAATAAAATGTATAAAATAATATCTCAGTACAAATAATACAGTGCCATCTAGTCTCACGTTAAGCAGTGCTTGTTTTATATATTAGACAACTGATATAAATACATACATACATTTCTTTTTTTAAAAACATATATAATATACATAGAAAACAGTCATACTCAAAAATACAAATATTTGTACTGTGCAAGGAATCGAACCCGCGGAAGGAAAACGGCGTGCAAAACCGCTGGACCATTGTGACTGGCAAAATGATTTATTATTTATAGTTTAAAATTACTGAATAACGTAACTAATGTGAATTGACATTTATACGTTTATTCATGCAGGATTCAACGAGAGAAAGTTTTGTTAGTGACATTTCGAAAGGAGAAATAACCTTTCAATATCAGTAACTCATTCTATGATAATTGCGTAAGACTTTATAATAAACTGCCAGAATTTACTCTAAACAAGACAGAGAGGCAATTCAAATCTTATATTAAACTTGCTCAGGAACGTCCCGATGTGTAGTAAAGTTTAGTGGCCACGCCGTATAGAGTGTATATTTTATTAAAAACAATTATATTGTACCAATTGAATTAAGAATTTTCTTATTGGAAAATAGTTAAATTACGGAGCGTTCTTTTTCTTCCAGTTTTTATTTTTAATTGCTCTTTTCTTCTAAATTCGAAATTTAAGTGGCCACATATATTATTGGTGCCCAGTATTATCCAGCGCCCTATCCTACAGTAAGCAAGCCTTTCGAATATTTCCTTAGTATAAGCAGGTTGTATCACCATACAACCTGCTTCTAAGGAAATATTCGAAATGCGTAACACATTTTTTGTGTGAAAAAGTCTATTATAGGAAACACAAATTCATAGTTCATCCAGGTTACTTATGACTGAGAGCTGGTAGCTACTTTGCCCAGAAGTTAAGTATTGCTATTCAGAGGCCACGCTGCCAGTATCTTGGGGACGCTACCTCAATGTGACACGTTGGATTACAATGATTGTTTTTTCTGTGATTATGTCTGATTATTTAAAAATTAAATAATAATAATACATGGATGACAACCATATCTAGTAAAATATGTATATTATGTATATGTATATTTTTGCATATGACGTTATATAATTGAGAAATATGAAAGTCCTATGAATAAATACTCTTTAACTTTGACGGCGAAACGCGCGATATTTAAACATAAAGATTGCTTTTAAAAGGTAAAGAAAAATCGAATGGTCTACCTCTGCGTGGGTCCAGGCTGATAGTGCTTTGGGTGGAGTATCAGGTGCTACGGCTCCTAGTCTGCCCCTCTTCCTGGCTTCTTGTAGTATTGGAACTTTGGAGTTCTTGTCACCTGATGATAATATCACTTCTCGTTCTATCTGTTGAGAGAATAGAATGAAATTTAATAGTAATAATCTTTAAGAGGATATTCTTTGGAGTGCGCTCTATATGAAATGTGCTTTAAATCTATACATATAAATAAAATTGGAGTGTTTGTAATATTGAAATAACCGTTTTTTACTACATGCATATAAATACGTATATATATACGGTACATATACTAAAATAACATTTTTTATACATTTTATCTGTCTGTCTGTCGGTCCGTTTATTCCGGCTAATCTCTGAAATGGCAGGACCGATTTTGACGGGACTTTTTTTGGCAGGTAGCTGATGTAATAAAGAGTGACTTAGGCTACTTTTATTTTAGAAAAGCAAGGTTTATTTCCACACTGTAGAAGTCTCAGGAACAGCTAGTATTTTATAAAAAACGACTAATTTTATATTAGAATTACACGTATTTAACTAAAAAGCAATTAGTGAAAACCAGTAAAAAAGAGGTCAATTTTAGCCATTCGTGTGAACAGTTCGCGAGAGTATAAGATTTAAATAAAATGCTAGAACTACTGGAATGTTTAAAAATAATTCTGAACAAAAACACACTACTAATTTAAATAATTAGGTACCCTGGACGATTCACACAGGGTTATCTAGTTCCAAGCTTGGAGCCAAAAAGCAAAACAAGGAGAGCTTGTGTCATGGGTATTAAACAATTGATACTTAAATACATATATACATACATAAGGTACATTGAAAACATCCAGACTGATACAAACAATCATATTCTAATGTTTGCACCGTGTGATGAATTGAACCCGCGACCATCGGAAGTAAAGCGGTGTTACAAACCGCTAGAGCACCGAGGTCGTCGAATATAAATAGAATAATCCGAGTTGAATGGAATACAAATTATTTTGGCAGAATATTGTTTAAAAGTTATATAATAATAATATTCCTGGACAAGTAACAAAGCGCCATCTAGTTCCAAACTAAGCAGAGCTTGTATTGTGGCCTAAATTCAAAGGTTGACTGGAAGATCCCTCCTCTCATTACGCTGTCTGTACCTACGTATGCTTAAATCTTTAAACTACGCAACGGATTTTCAAGCGGTTTTTTTAATAGATAGAGTGATTCAAGAGGAAGGTTTATATATATAATACATCTACACCCGGGCGAAGCCGGGCCGAGGAGCTAGTTTGGGGTAAGTTCCCCATTATACGCATTTATTAATAAGTTCATTGCATACTTTTATACAAAATTGATCGTAAAATAAAGTATAACATACCAACTAACAATAATACTGGTTTTTTACCTTTCAATTCCAAAATGTTTTCCGTTTAATAGTATCAATATATCAAATAGCATAATTTATATCGTCACAAACACTTTACACTTCAAATAATTTGTTTATTGTAAATTTTATTAATTGCACATTTGTTTGTGTTACCCACGCACTAATAGCTATGCCTCACTGTTGGGTTGACTGGTAGAGATCTCTCTTAGCGATAAGTCCACCTTTGGTCACTCTGTATATATTTAAGATTACTACTGTATTTAAAAGTGCAATAAAGAATATAAGATAATTACAAAGTAAATTATCTGAAAGTTATATAAAATGTATAATCGAACGGCGCAAGCCAAGGCATGTGCACGGTCTAGCAAATGTTGCAACAATGAAAACTTTCACTGCAACATCTCACATCAATAAATAATTGCGGGATGGAACATCTATAAAACAAACTTGAGTTACGAGCTCATTTAGAAATCGCGGATGTGAGCCAACTGAGAAAAAGTATTGTTGTAATATTCCTCGGAAATGTATCTTAGGAAAAATCACGGGATCATATCACGTTTTCTTTATTTTTGTTGAGTTCCCGATGTTTAGTGTTACAATCTCCATGATCACGGGTAAACAACGTATTGACGGCCTCGGTGGTCTAGTGGTTTAGAACACTGCCTCACTTACGAAGGTTGCGGGTTCCATTCCTTGTACGACGCGAACATTTGAATTCATAAGTATGATTGTTTGTATCAGTCTGGGTCTTTACTATTGTATATATAATATGTACCTATGTAGTTACGAAAAAAATATATATCTATGTATTATAAGTTATTTAGTAGCTAGTTTAAGTTGGGTCTGGATAGCGCTATGTGAATTGTCCTGAGATTATTATTATTAGCAATAGTACTTACACTTGAATAAAATGAAATAAAAATATCTTTATTCATGTAAGTCTATTACAGACTCTTATGATATGTCAAATCTCTCAGTTTGGAGTGCTTTCGTGCAAAGAACAAACAAGAAACTCAGCTCTTATTCTTTACAATGAGCTTCTACAATTACAATTTAATTTGAAATTCAAATAGGAATATTATACTGACCACCAGAATATGTAATTTTCATTATTTTCATGATGAAATAATTTTATCAGTCGCCGGCAAGTTTGAGGAAGACTACTGCCGTCTCTCGAATGAAATTTTTTTTAATTTTTTCGGATTTATTGATTTTTCTAATCTGTTAATTCATATTTATTATACATTAAATTGTAGTATATATCTTATCTTAATAATATTATAAACACAAAAATTTGTAAATATGTATGTTTGTTACTCTTTCACGGAAAAACTACTGAACGGATTTTGATAAAACTTTACAGTAATATAGCATAGCTTATACATCAGAATAACATATAGGTTATAAATTACACGCGGGTGAAATGGCGAGCACAGCTTGTATAATATAATCTCGGATTAATAATTTTGAAGTTTTTTTAGTGTTTGTCAGATTTGAGCATACAATCTTTTGGGTGTAAGTCGGGACATCTTAGTTTTAGGCTATGACGCTCTTTGTAAGTGTATTTTAATAGTAAATTATAACATTGTCCAATTGGGACGTGCCTTGCGTGCTACAATATATTATATCTGCATCGAAGCATGGGACAAAGTCATTAACCTGCAGTAGTAAAGCCTGTTTGTCTCCGAGTGCGTGAGACACAGTGACATGAGACCGTCATAGCCTAATGGTTTACCGCGATATAGTCTTTAAAAGTCATAAGTTCCAATCTGGCTGAGAGTAAAAGAGATTGTGAGTCAATATTTCCAGCTTTTTATTTTACGACTTACATTGGTCTAGCGATTTACCACACCGTGTTACTTCGATGGTCGCAAGTTTGATTCCTGGCACGGTTCATGCTTTTGTATTCAAGAGTATGAATATTTGTATTGATCTGGTTGTTCTCTAAGTATATTTTTTTATACTACGATGGTGACAAACAAGCATACGGCCATCTGATGGTATGGTTACCGTAGCCTATGGACGCCTGAGACCACCAGGGATGTTTCCGACCCTTAAGAACCTTAATATACCCTTCTTGAAGAACCCCATGCTGTGATGTCGTCAGAAAAATATTGTGTATGTATTTAAAAATTATGCAGGTGACTACTGGTAAGCTATAATTTAAAAAAGCATATTTTGTTTCTTAATATCCAACAGTATACTCACGGGAAACTTTGCGGAGTGCGTGTGAAGTGCGGCAGGTGTGGACGGCGCCGGAGCACCCGGCAGAGCCGCCTCCGGGGCTGGTGGCATCCTGTACGGAGGCACAGCCTCGACCGTACCTGCAGAGTAATGAGAGAACATATTAATATACTGAGTTTTTTATGCAATTTGAATGATGAACAAAGAAGAAAAGAGAAGAATTGCAAACATATGTAAATACTGGAGTATGAGAGTTATGGAAGATAAAAACCTTCATCTATACATATAAATAAAATTGGAGTGTCTGTTTGTAATATTGAAATAACCATTTTTACTAATATAAATACGGTACATACACCAAAATAACATTTTTTACTATTTTTGTCTGTCTGTCTCTCTGTTTGTTTGTTCAGGCTAATCTCTGAAATGGCTGGACCGATTTTGACGGGACTTTTATTGGCAGGTAGCTAATGTAATAAGGAGTAACGTAGGCTACTTTTATTTTATAATAAATAAAGTAAAATTGCACGTGGACGAAGTCGCGGGAACATCTAGTATTAGTATTAAAATTAAACAATTTCAACACCTGCATTCTACCCGTCGTGAGTATTACAGTTAACTGATGTGTTCCGTATTCTGAACATCCTTAGTATAAGCAGGTTGTATACCGGCTTGCTTACTGGAGCAAAGGGCGCTTGATAATACTGGCCACCAATAAAAACATGTGGCCACTTAAAATTAAAATTTAGAAGGATAAAGTAATTGAAAATAAGAACAGGAAGAAAAAGAACGTTCTATTTTTAACTATTTTAAAACAAGAAAATTATTGATTTAATTATAATATAATTGTTTTTATTAAAATATACACTCTAGAGTGCGTGGCCACTAAACTGTACTACACATCGGGACGTTTCTGAGTAAAAGTGAGTAAGTTTGGTGTTACATTGCTTACTTTGTTCGGAAGACGTTCGTTTTCAATAATTATTTTTGAAGAAATATTTATTTTTCTTTCTTCTCTCTATTTTTATTTATTCTTTATACGGATTCGTAATACAACATCATGAAATCGCAAATTGTCAATACGCTATGGAAAGAAGTATGCTGAATATTAAGAGATCAGATGAAACTGAAAAACTACGTTATCCGAAACAAATCAAAAACCACAGATAATATATTTGAATATTAAAGACTCCAATCGAGATGGGCAGGCCACATAATAAGAGAATATGATGAAGTGACAAAATGGTATCCTAGGGAAGCAAAAAGAAGAACAGGCAGACCTCAACAAGATGGAATGATGATATCAGGGAAGTGGCAGGAGTAATGTGGGACAGAGTGGCTCAAGAAAGAGGAGAATAGAAATGATTGGAGGAGACCTTTGGTGTTTGGCAAACAGATCTGCAGAAAGTAAATAAAATTCAAATGCGACAATGTATTTTTCCGTTTTTATGTTTTTAAAGTTTAATGTCTGTATTAGGTGTATATACGACCTCCTTATCGATTATTTTTCCAATATATGGTTTAGTGTCAAATACAGATGGGCATAATTGTAAAAAAATATTAAAGCAACACAATTCTATTCTGTACACGAACGTTTTATTTATTGACCATATATATAGTATATCATCTCAACGCAAAAGAACCCAACCACCACTTTAAATTTCGCCCAATTTACACAATATCTTTTTAAATTATAGCCTATATGTTATTTTAATATATAAGCTATATTACTGTGAAGTTTCATCAAAATCCGTTCAGTAGTTTTTGCGTGAAAGAGTAACAAACATCCATCCATACTCACAAACATTCGCATTTATAATATTAGTAAGTTTAGAAAAATCAATATTTCCAGCAGATAACTATCAAAATAGCCGGAAATATTGTTTATAAACTAAGTAGTTCATTCATAAAATTATAGTAAAGTTACTTTACTTTAAAGTAAGTACTTGTACTGTAATACTGCGGAGGCATTTTGCTCATTTCCTGTGACATTGCACTTAAAAATTACTAAACTCGATACATCCTTACAGCTTTTGTAATAAGGTTCATATTGATACGCAGAAGTTTGTTGTTACTTTATAGAAATTTTCATGGCATTTTTATTAATGACTGGAACCGTTGTTTAAATTGTACCATTTGAGTTATTTAGTTTAAGAAGTAATATGGAATTTTTGTTATTAGTTAGTTGCAATGACACACAAACTGACAGTCTGATGTTAAGTGCCTATACATGAACAACACTACAGACATCATGTTATTATGTGAAGGCCAAAACAATCTTACAAAGCAAGTAATTTTTTTTCGGACTACTCAAACCCCCCCGTCCGATTCAAATGGGAATCGATATTACGACGGCCGGAGCCGAGGTTCGAACCCCTAGCGGTGCCTTCAGACTAAAGTCGTATCTGTCAGGCGGGAGTTGGTCTTCAGCCGGTCCATAAGTCCTTCCGTGGGTTTGGAGTGCCATCTACACTCGCCCCCTAACGTCCGGTGAAGCTGTAAAGGCCAGCTGCAGCCAACAGTATTAGAGTAGTCCGAAAAAAAAGTAATAACCGCCGCGCCACAGTTTCATATAATTGAAGTTACATCTTAAAACCTGTCGACCTATTAATTATTGCATTACTTAGAAACTCGATCAAGGAACCTTGTTAATAATACATTAAGAAATATAACAAAAATTCCCATTGTTCAAAAATATCATGAAAACTATTGTTTCGCTGGAATTGTGCAATACGTTGCAACTTATCTGACACAATCGGCTAAATGAATGATTATTACAGTGACTTTTGATTTTTAAAACCGCTCTCAATGATTTTATAAATTATTTCCTCAATTTGTCTTCGGAATTACGTAACGCGCATATTAGTTGCGCCCGCGGTTTGACACGCGTATAATTTATACTGTTATTCAGATGTATATTATTGTAAAGTTAAAATCCCTTCAGTAGTTTTTGCGTGAAAGAGTAACAAACTGAATTCTAAATTCTAAATAGAGTTTGTATAATTATGATGTACCTATATTATTATAACGTTTCATTAAAATCCCTTCAGTATATTTTGCGTGAAAGAGTAACAAACTGAATTCTAAATAGAGTTTGTATTATTATGATGTATAACCTATATTATTATAACTTTCATTAAAGTCCCTTCAGTAGTTTTTGCGTGAAAGAGTAACAAACTTAATTCTAAATTCTTAGTAAACTTCTGAAGTCGAGTAAACTTAAATCTAAGTACCGATTTTAATGACTTCTTAGTCAGATTTTGATTCAAGCAGTTCTCTTATTCTTTACTCAAAACTGTTGAAGTAATTGAAATTGTATAGTCTGTGGAATAAAATCTAGAATTACTTAAATATTTAAAGGTCCTTACTTAATGTTATCCGTCAACATGACATGTTGACACGTGTTGCCTTTCACACATTGCCGTTCTCGATTGACACTCGACCTAGTTTTGAGTGTAATAATTTGTATCTGAATATTAGAGATCGTATGGTGATAAATTTAGATAATACATTATAATCATATACCAACATACACTTTACATATATACATAATTGCATCCTGAGTGAAGAAAGAAAGATGAAGTAAGATATAAAAAAAGCAATTACAATTTTCTTACACAGTAGACAAGAAACGAATAGCGAAAATCTAAAATGAGAGAAATATTTCTATCTTTCCTTTTTACAACTTAATCATCATAATCATTACATTGTATTCAAAGTCGCTGTTCTTTCTTATGCTTAAATCTTTAAAACTACGCAACGGATTTTGAAGCGGTTTGTTTTTAATAAATAGAGTGATAAAAATTTATATGTATAATTGTATAGTCTGGGGAATGGGACAAAATCTAAATTATTTCGTAAACGATTAAATGTATTATTTAACACGTCTTTAAACTTCTGAACGCGACCGTTGTGATTATCCAGTCAACCATGCTTTTAGCAGGAGAGAAAATGTTGACGCGGGTAACTAAAAAAATACGTGAGATTTAAAAGTGTTTTACGATCTTCACACTTGTGATGATCAATGTATCCCAAAGGTAAGTTAGGGCATCAAATATTGACACTCGTTTTACAATAATTAACTTAGTATCTTTAGTGAAATGCTTTTTTAAAAATTATTTTCTGAATATTAGAGATCGTATGTGTGATAAATTTAGATTTTAATACATTGTATTTTAATCATATAAACCTGAAAACATACACTTGAAGACTCGATCAAGTGGGCCGTATCTAAAGTTATATATACATAATTGCAAATATCCTGAACTCTACAAAATCGTGTTGAAAGTTTAGTTTTGAATTTATGTGATTATTATATATAAAAAAAGCAATTATAATTTGTTTTTTGTTTAGCGATCCTGTTTTGAATAATGGTGATATTCTGAAGTATTAGTTTTGTTAAGAAAAAGTGTTTTTTTTTTGTTAAAATGTAAAACTGATTGTAAGATTAATTATTTCACAATAAATGTATTATTTTTAGTGTTATTATTTAATTCATACATAATCATTACAAAGTATAAAACAAAGTCGCTGTGGGGCAGAATGATGCAAAACTGTTTTTTTTCTGAAATCAATATATCGTTATATCTAATATAATTAATATTTTAAAAAACATAAACTGAATTTTGATAAATAAAGTGAAAAAAAGTTGAAATGTATGTTTATGTATATTAAAAAACTTTGAATTTTTGTGCATCAATCGAAGCCGGGGCCCCTAGCTAGTACTCAATATTTATTACACAATCATTTCTTCAGAACTATTCTAATACTGTTGACTGCAGTTGGCTAATAGCTTCACCGAACGGTAGGTGGCGAGTGCAGATGGCACTCCTAACCCGTGGAAGAACTTATGAAGCTGAAGGCCAAGTTCTACCTGACGGATACGACTTTAGTCTGAGGGCACCGCTGGTGTTTCGAATCTCACTTTAGGCCGTCGTAATTTCGATCCCCGTTTGAATAGGGATTGATCGGCTGTCACAAATATTAATTGAAAGACAAAGTTTTGTTGGTCGCTTAAATTTGAACTCATGACAATTTGGGTGTAAAAAGGGGTTGTAAACCACTAACCACGAAGCTCTATATACTGTAGCTATTATATCAATATTACCTATCTAAATATTGATATGAACATATTATATTTCTTTGTCCTTACAACTAGTGCTCCCTTTGCACCACAAAACAAATGCAAAGCTAACCGAACTCGATGAGTAAATTACAACTGTATTTATAATTTAGTTAAGGGTGATTTTCGATTAAATTTCGAGTTGTAAGGGTGGGCGGAAGGGTCTCGAGTCCACAGGTGCATTCAACTTGTTTTTATGTGAATAATACATCTGCTTTGTTTCAAACTCAAATGTTTTAGTCATGGCTTATGTGAACATGACTCAATTGGTTTTGATGTAGTCTATATGCATATATTCTTAACAAATAATGGAGTATTATGACAACACTGCTGTGATTTTTCCTGTCCAGCCTATATTAAAGTGTCTCCTCTTATTTATATTTTATTAATATATGTTCAAAAGGTGATTGATGGAAGCAAAGCAAGTATAACTTAACATAATTCACACAGCACTATATAGTCCCAAGCAGAGATTGTGTTATGAGTACTAGACAACTGATATAATTATGTTAATTAAAACAAATATTCGTATCCTGCGAGGAATCCTACGTGGCCATTCAATGGAAGTTGGTGTATTAAACCTCATTGTTAGACCACCTAGACCGTAATGATTTTTTATTTTTATATATAGGTTTAGCCCATCTGATGGTAAATGGTTACCGTAGCCTATGAACGCCTGAAACACCAGGGGTATCACTAGCGCGTTGCCGACACTTAAGAAACCTTAATAATGAAAAATCCCATGCTGTAGTCTCGTGGGAAAACCTCGGCGAAGTTATATATATAATTTCATTCATTCAACTTTATATATATATATATATATATATATATATATATATATATATATATATATATATATATATATATAATTTCATTCAAATATTCATAAAACTGAAAAGTTTGTGTTGATCTGGATGTTTTTCTATAGGTATACTATGTATGTATTTATTTACAAAATTTCCATCAGTTGTCGGTACTCATAACACAAGCTCTGCTTAGCTTGGGACTAGATGACGCTATGTGAATTATTTATTTTTATTTATTATTATATTATAATTATAAAATAGATAATAATAATAATAATAATAATTCTTTTATTGGAACTAAAAACGCTGTGTGAATTATTTAGGCGTTAGCGCATATTATTATATATATAATTAAAAATAATAAAATAGATGTTTACAACATAACTTTTAGGAAGATAAATAGTAAATTAAAAAGATGCATATTAAAAGTCGGGTAACAGCAAATGCTTTAATAAAATATTACATAATTGTGAATTGTAGGTAAGCTGCGAATAATTGGAATCATTTGGGTTAATATGTAACACATTTACTTAGTCATGTTGAACTGTTACATTTTATTTTACTGTCTTAAGGGTAAAATCATTACAAACTTTACATATTTATTTCTATTTAATAGCAAAATATATCATCATCTGCTTCTTCCTTATCCCATTTGTTTGGGGTCGGCGTAATATGTTTTTCTCTTCCATTCATCTCTGTTCGCAGTCATTCCGTTATTTACTTCCTTTCTCACCATATCATCTTTCACACAGTCCATCCATCTCTTTTTCGGTCTTCCTAATAGCAAAATATATTTCTATATAAAACAACAGCCTAAAAATTACTTTAGTGCTTTAAACATGACGACACTTACATACAACCTTTCATCTTCTCTTTCAACATTTTTCGCATTAAAAAGTAGACTATGTCAGTCTTAGGATCTAGAGTAGAGTGTGCCAAATTTCATTTAAATTGGTTCAGTTATTTTTGTTAAAAGAAAGAAAATATTTATTGCACACAATTACCAAATATTATTTAGAATTATATTATTAACTAAACTAACAAATACTAAATGTTATTAATATCATTATGCATTATTCATATAACTAAGTAATAGTTCTACAATATTCAATATAATAATTTAAGCGTATATAATAATCGTTTAAAAGTGATTACATAAATAGAATTTATAGTTATCAGCTAGATTTAATTAATTTAATGATATTCAATGACTAATTATTAAATCTAGATTGAAAATAAAAGTTAGTGAGTAGAATGACTATTTTAAATTTGAAAGTTGTAAGCCATCTTAAGCAAGTTTAGATAACTTTAACTATCTATCAACACCTTCTAAGTTGAATGGTTGTACTTTCATTAGGTGATTACGAGTTTACGTTCATCAACATCAAATGCAGGTACTAATTAAATTTATAATAACTGTTGTATGTCGTGAGAAAACGGAAATCGTAGATCTTATGATTAACATTGCTGTATAATAACACCATCGTTTGAAAGAGGTTTTTTTTGGACTACTCTAATGCTATTGCTGGCCTTTATAGCTTCACCGGACGATAGGTGGCGAGTGCAGATGGCACTCCAAACTTGCAAAAGGACTTATAGAGCAGCTGAAGACCAACTTTCGCCAGACGGATATGACTTTAGCCTGAGGGCACCACTAGGGGTTCGAACTACAGCACGGCCGTCGTAATTTGAAGAACGATTAGAAGATTATGTTAATTGTGCTAGAAGTAAAAATTTGTACAAAAGATAATAAGAATATAATTCATAATCTTAAACGTAATGATCAAGATTATAATTTTCTTATTATCTCTGTACAGTATAAAACAAAGTCGCTGTCGCTATCTTTCCATCCCTATGTATGCTTAAATCTTTAAAACTACGCAACGGATTTTGAAGCGCGATTTTTTTAATAGATAGAGTGATTCAAGGGGAAGGTTTATATGTATAATACATGTACACCCGGGCGAAGCCGGGGCGAGTAGCTAGTAATATTATAAAGGCGAAAGTGTGTGAGTATCTATGGATGTTTATTACCCTTTCACACATACTATACTGATTTTGATGAAACTTTACAGTAATACATAATTTGCGTTAAATTGTGATATATAAATTTTATATTGAAATTTATATATCACAATTTAACGCGGATGAAATCACGGGTACAGCTAGTAATAATAATATTTCAGGACAATTCACATAGCGAGATATAGTTCCAAGTTAATAATAATAACAATTATTCAACAATATATCAGCATTCATATTTATGGGTACGACATGGGTAAAAATAAAATTTTATCAAAGTATATATGATACATATACAGCTATTTTTATAATACAAACATAATATACAAAGAAAACAAAAATGAGTAGAAATATTTGTACCATGCAAGGAATCGAACCCGCGACGATCGAAAGTAAAGAGGTCCGCTAAACCGCTAGACCACGGAGGGCGTCAATTGGCAAGAAGCTACAAAAACTAATAGTTACTAAGTAAGTAGATTATGTTGTTATTGAATGATTGGTAGGGGGGAAGGGTATTGTTAGTAATGTGGACTAATGATCCCATTGCTAGCAATGTACCATGTTAGATCGACCTCCACGCGGTTCCCCCTAGAAACAATCGTGATACATTCCCGGTGAATTTGTCACGTTGGGCTAACTGATCTGACTTCATGACATCCTGTCATCCTCCACTGGTGCCTCGCCAGCGTAAACCGTTAGCGCAGGAGGATGCACCATTCCATTATCATCCTTTTAAAAAAAAACTCTCTGGGTAGAGTAGTAGTGTTTTTTAGATCCGTTTCAAGATATTATAAAGATTCTGCAAACGGATATAACGGAAACAAAAACGTTACAAATATTGTGACATTTTAGAGTTATCTGAATAAATAAATCTCAAGAGATAATCGTGTTACGTAACGCAATTAGAACAGTATAACCGAAAAACTAGTTATTCTTGTTTATTATAATATATAGTATAGTTAATGTGTAAGTTCCCGTTAAAAAAGCTCAGCGCTAAGCAGGTGCTTGTGTTGTGTACTTAAAGTGAAACAGATCAAGGACGTACATACCAGATAGTTGAAGTGCACAATGCTGTACCAATTGATGAAGTAACCGTTACAGACTCAATATCAAGTCATCGGCATCACAAGATACACGAGCTTTCAACTTTCGCCCATTCACACAACACACGTATATTAACAGATTTAAATAAAGAACTATACATCAAAACTCATTGGACATCAAGATCCAGAATCAAATTACACCCACTTGTACTAAGCGATAATAAAATTAAAACAGTTTATTCTTAATAAATACGAACAAATTGGCATATTAAAGAAAGAATTCGAATTGGACAACAGAACGAGACATTCACCTCTTGTCGGAGCGGCCCGCGCACTGGCAGCCGGGCGACTCGCAGCAGAACCTGTTTCGTAGAAAAAAGCACCTCTTCCCGCGTCCACCGACGACGAGGCGACCCTTTGCATATTTCCCTGGTCGCTATTTATCATTGCCCCCGTATTATCCATGGGGAATTGCGCGGAAACTTCTTGGAGCCTCTCTGGGACTAGTTGGGTGTCGTTAAGTTGATTGTCCGCGCGACGGGCGTCGTCGGCCTTCGGAATGACCGCCATGTTTGGTCTAGTCAGGTTTTGGCGCGAAACGTCGAACCTGCGTTCTTGGTGATTTGTTACGACAACCATTTGAGGTGCTGCGTTGGGATTTCTAGGTACAACTACTGGAATCCGGCCGTACACTGGTTTATTTTCATATTTTTGCATAGTATCTATAATGCGAGGCTCAGTTAAAGTTTGCGAGTTTGCAAAAGCGTTTACTTTTAATATCTCATTGGCTTGGTGAAGTAACTTTCTTTGTATGTTTTCAATTTCGCCTTTCGATGCTCTTGAATTTTCTGATAATTCGGCTATGAGTTGGTTCACACTAAAGTCAGCCATTTTGTCCACTGATTTCGAGTTTGTAGTTAGATTTTGAGGAAAACTTTTCGTTTCAGTTTCATTGATGTTAGAGTTATTTTTCTGTTCGGCAATTTTTTTTAATATCTTAATTTTCATATCTTTGTCTGGCGGAGTGACTTCTACGGCAGGAAGCAGAGAATCTTCAAGAGACACGTTAGTAATATTGGAATCTTTGCCCTTGTTTCGTTTTACTTTCCTCACAGTTCTGCTGGCCATTACATTTTTGCAGAACACCTATTGTTGACTACTTTTGCTGTAAATATCAAAAATTCACATTTGGGTCCTCTTTTTAAAATTTCAATCACAAATAAAAAACATTGGGTTATTTCATTACTTTGTTATATTACAAGGAATAACTATTTACAGTTTTTGAGGCCTGAATAATGTTTTTATGTATTATAAAATTATTATGTACGGGAATTTTAATGGTAAACCTAAGACAATTGAAGATTACAGAACATAATATTTACTTTATATATATAATATTTACATTTATAAATACAAAACTGAAATAACTATTAGACATATTCTTAGCAAAGGGTGACTTATCTAAAATGTTATCTCTTCCAGTGTAGCAGGAAGTGGTGTGTAGATCACAGAAGAGCAAATATTAATTGTAATAATAGACAAAAGTAAAATATAATCAATTGTAATAATAGTTCGATTCCTCGCACGGCACAAAAGTAAAATAACTAATGTATAATATGTATGTATTTAGGAAAAAAAAAAAAAATATCTATGTATTTGTATAGTTGTCTGCTAGATGGCGCTGTGTGAATTGTCCTGAGATTATTATTATTATTATTATTATTATTATTATAATATTGCAAATTGTATTTCTATGAAACTATTCTCTGGAAACAAAACTGCACCGCGTGGGCACCACCCAATATGGAACCAGGACGGTATTATGTTCTCTGACAATATTACAATTGACACACTTTTCCTTGTGTCGCAAGCTTTTGTTATACTTTCAATGAGGGTATATACAGGTTCTCACATTTGTATCTGATACAAAACATGTTTTTCTGTTATTGCAATAGAATTGTGACATCCGTATTTTGGATTTTACATAACGATTCGATAACATCCTAATATTATGAGTCAAATATAAAAGTGAGTTTGGTTGGTTGTTACACTTTATTGTATTCATGTTACAACCAATAATTTTCTTTGGCATATACGTACGTATCATTTAGGATGAAGAAATAAAAAGAGTATAGAGTAGTTTTCTATCTCGGTTAATTATGTTTAATTATGACTTTTATTACATTTATTTCATTAAAACGAAATTGTCCGATCTTGAAATAGTACAAAGTGAAGTCGCTTTTCGGATATCTGATTCTTCTCTTCTTCTAAAATCATGCAAATTATTTTCATACGGTTTTAGAATATTCCAGAAGAATTAAATGTATAACATATAGATGTACAAAAGAGAGAACAGTTGAGAATAATAATTGCACTCGTGCGAAGACGTGTTGGGCATTTAAGAGAGATCAATTCCATATTTTAAATACATCCACTATTAATGAAAATGATTGTTATTCAAGCGGTAATAAAAACTCTTTCACTAGTTCGATTAAAGTTAATATACGGTAATTTAAATCGTTCTCCAAACAAAAGTTACGTGATTATAACGTGTACAAACTTATTATATGTGTAATCGGAGATAAAGAGAGCGTAACTGCAGTAAATGTTATGTGTAAGACTTTATTTTATTGTAGCGCCATTCCGCGCAGGTATGTAGGTTGTTATGGTCGTTCAAAGATCAAACGTAAAGTATGTATAGGTATTTAAAAAATAAATGAAAAAAGAGAAAACGTTTACGAGTTATAACTTTCGAAAGGACGACCTAAGGGAGTTTGATTATAAGAATAAAGATTACTTACTCTAATTAATATATTTTTTTTACTTTTGTTTCATTCTGGCTATTTGTCAATTAGTTTTCACTAAAACTTCTAAATATGTAATGCTAAACATTTCTTTAAGAGAGCAACATGCAAGTGTCCTTTACTTTCTTCTAAGTACGTAATGCTGAACAACATTTGTTTAAAAGAGCAAAACGCAAGTACTTGCTCGTTCTTCTTGTGATGAGTCTGCTTTCTGAGTGAGCGGTAGAATAAAAGAAATATGACTATTCAAAAGTGCTTATATTAAGTTTATTTGAATAAACATTATTTATATGTAAGTTAGTATTAGCGCAGTATATACTATTTTTTTTTTAAATATGTACTAATATTATAATGTTGAAGAGTCTGTTTGTTTTGTTGGAACACGGTAATTTCACTATCTATGGCTTCGTAGTGAAAAAATATTTAAGTATTAGATAGCCCATTTATCATAGAATGCTTTAGGCTATATAAAGAGACTATTATCAATAGGACCGGAGCATTGATGAAAAATATTGCAAAAGGAGGGAAAATTTGAAGAAATTCTAAAAAGGAACTCTCCAAATCATAGAGGATTATATTTGACGAAGACGAAGTTGGGCTGGTAAGCTAGTATATAATATACAGACATAACTATATATTTTTATACTTCTATTATATATTATTATGTAATATGATAATATATTACTTCCAAATTTAGTAAGTCGTATCAAGTTTAATGTCCGAGATAATATGAGAATATAAATTAAGGTCTGTAATTCAAAATGACAAGCGAGGGCGACTTAAAATCATAGCGATCGAGTTTTATGACAGTAGGTAGTTGAGATTTTCAATAACAACTGTGCTTTCAATGATTACATTTGAATAATAATTCTGGAATTATAAAATCTATAAAATTATTAGTTCGTTTTTTCGTTAACTATGATATATTGAAATAATAATAAAACAGAATAATTTACACAGAGCCATCTAGTTCGACGCTAAGCAGAGCTTGTGTCATGATACTATTATACTATAACTATAATATACTGTTTTAAACTTGACGCGGTCATTATTTATATGTATAATTAGTAAAAATCACGGGATCTTACCACGTTTTATATTTATTTACTGAGTTACCGATATTTCGGTAGTGTTTCAACCACCATGAACGCTGATAAACTGGTTTATCCGCGATCATATATAAAACGTGGTAAGATCCCGTGATTTTTACTAATTATAACTATAATACTACAAGGAAGAGATATACTTAAATATATATTTTTAGATATATAAATACATAATAAACATATAATAATAATAATAATAAGTTTATTGTTAAAAAAACTAGATACAAAATGGCTTTAACTAAGGTTATATTATAATTATTTGCATTCATTACGTTCATGAATTCAAAGGTTTTGTAATTTTGTACCTTGCGAGGTATCGAACCAGCTACCATTGGTAACACATTAAAAATACTTATACTTATCACATATTGTATATATATTAATATTGTAATAAATAAATAAAAAAAACCTAAAGTTAAAAACCTTATGCCCTCCGGTATAAAATCATAGTGCACTATAATTTTACTACCATCTGATTCTTATCACCTTTAAAAACTGTTATCATGTACAATATAATAGTATTAGTAAATATTCTGTTTATTCATAAATTCGAATGACTTTCACTAGTAATTTCTCAAGACTTCACTCGAATTCTCACCGCAAGTCATATATTAAAAGTTTCCTATGCAGTGCTCCTTTCACATGCTTTCGCTTTATATTTGTTTCGTTTTTCATATCTTTTTAAAAATATTTTTAGGAAGATAAAGAAGAATTGTTTTAATATTAAATTTAATTAATATTTCCGTTATGAGTGTTAGATAACTCATAGAAATGCTTATGTAGATACATTTCTTTTTGTAAATATATACATAATACACAAAGAAAACACCCAGAGCAATACAAACCATCATAGTCATCACTACATAGTATAAAACAAAGTCGCTGTCGTTGTCGGTCCCTATGTATGCTTAAATCTTTAAAACTACGCAACAGATTTTGAAGCGGTTAATTTTTAATAGATGAAGTGATTCCAGAGGAAGGTTTATATGTATAATACAAGTACACCCGTGCGAAGCCGGGGAGGGTAGCTTGTAATATAAATATTTGCACCATCGAACTTGCGACCATCGGAAAGTGATATGATTAAAGTGATGTGTTTACCCGATAAACCACCGAGACCGTCAACAAATACATTTGGGATGCAGATACCACCATAATTACGCCAAGATAACTATTGTTATCGTGGCATAATTATGGTGAAGAAGTTGCGGTCAGAACCTCATAAATTAATAATCAGATTGGAATTTAAAAAAACCCTAATCCAATATTAATATTATTAAATAAGTTTTAAAACTAATTATATCGTGGTAAATAATTTACCTCTCAGTGCTCGATCGTCGAGAGGTATTTACCATAAAGTTACTCGTGTTAAAACCCGTTTAACTATATTAATAACTAGCTGTGCCTGCGACTTCATACGCGCAGCGTAACGAAAGCCATCAAATATGGACCCCGTTCTTACATTTTTCACTGATGCTTCGCTTCTATTGTACGTACCGTAATGTTATATAGCTTAAAGCCTTCCTCGATAAATGGACTATCAAAGACAAAAAGAATTTTCAATTCGAACCAGTAGTTCCTGAGATTAGTGCAAACTAATAAACAAACTCTTCAGCTTTATGTTACTTGACGGTGGTGTTTGATCAAAAAACAAACAAACCAAAAATTGATCAGTAAACAAACAAACCAATAAACAAACTTTTCAGTTTTATAATATTAGTGTAGATGTGTACTAAACGCGAAAGTTTAAAAATTTATATTACTAACCGCGCCCACGTTTCGTGCATTTCGAACACTAATTAATACCGACCTAATTATTCCTAATACGACAGTTACAAGTAAAGTTTTATACATAAATGTTAACAGTCCAAATAAAGAAACAAAAAATCAGTCAAGCGTAGGTGGATTTATAATGCAACGCTGTTCTAAGAATAGAATAGGATAGAAAATAATTTATTCAAATAAACTTAATTTAAGCACTTTTGAATTGGCACTTTTGAATAACATTTTTCTAAATAGAAATAATTTAGAAAAAAAAATTGTTATATTTTTTTTTATTTACAGCTCCTTTGGAAAGCTGTATTATCACAAGAAGAACGATCAAGAAACTTGTGTGTTGCTCTTTTAAATAATCCTTGTAAGTTCACATTTACAAGTCGAAACGTGTAAATACAAACTACCAACCAGCACTAATTTATTTGGGTTAAATATAAATACACAATAAGATTATAGTCGTAGTGATAAGTTACATTCCA